GAAGGATGTGAACAACGTTGTGAAAATCATCAGGGAAGCACATTGCCCATGAAGGAACATCATAAAGAAGTGCAAACTTGCTCAATCGACGGTTGTGAAATGCAATTTACGTTTCAATCTGTGTTGAGATTGCATCAAACCAGGGAGCATAATGATCAAACTACTACATTTACTAAAAAAACTCGGAAATTCGCATGTGACATTTGTGGAAAAGCATACTCAAGACGGGATAATCTAAAAACTCACAAAGATTCTACACATAACCCTCATAAGAAGAAATATGAATGCGATGATTGTGGTGAAATATTTCTCAGACAAAGTTCAAAGGAAACTCACATCATTCGTTTTCACACGAATAGCATTGGGAAATTCATTTGTGAAATTTGTAAAAAAGTTTACGCAAAGCGGCGAAATCTACAAGATCACATAGATCATACACACTTGTTCAAACAAAGAAAGAAAATCAATTGTGAATTTTGTGGTAAATCATCGTATCGTAATCAATCCCATCTCCGAAGACACATTAATACCGTGCATTTTAATCATCGAAAATATAAATGCAATACGTGCGAAAAGACTTTTAAGCAAAAAATAACTTTGATAGATCACGAAAGAATTCACACTGGAGAGAAACCCCTTAAGTGCACATACGAGCACTGTGAAGAACGCTTCAGAACTCGCGGAGATAGAACAAAGCATATTAATCGTATTCATTCTAATGAAACTCCCTATGTTTGTGAAATCGATGGATGCGACCAGGCATTTGGAAGATTAAAAGCACTGAATTTGCACAGGGAGAAAGAGCACGGAATATCCACATTGAATTATTCATGTGAAATTTGCTCGGAAATTTTCAGCATGAAGAAGAAACTGATGGAACATATCAAAGAAAAACATTCAACCTTGGAAATGTTTAATGCAACAGAGCAGGCTATCGAACAGACACAGTCTCAGTACCAGCAAAGTGTTGTTGCTAGCCATCAAGAGGAAGATAATCCGACTGGGGTAGAGTTCGGAATTAAAGTGGAAGAACTGTTGATTGACTCCTCACCTAATGTGCTACAGAGCCAACAAAATTATATAAAAAAATATAAATGCGATACATGCGAAATGACTTTTAAGCAAAAAGAGTATTTAACAGATCATGTACGGATCCACACAGGGGAAAGACCATATGAATGTAAGCATTGTGGAGAACGCTTCAGAACTCGAGGACAAAAATCAAAGCATATCATCAATATTCATTCAGAAGGGTTTTGTTGTGAAATTGATGGATGCAAAAAGGTATTTACTTCTAATCAAAGCTTGAGATCACACAGAGAAAAGGGGCACGGAATATCTATATTGATTTATTCGTGCGAATTTTGCTCGGAAATATTCAACACTAAGCAGAAAATGATGAAACACATCCAAGAGAAACATCAATCTAACACAGAACAATGACAATACAATTAGTATGTCATTCCTGACAAAAATAATTCAGAACAATTCTCTTTTTTATTGCAATGAATTTAAAAAAAATTCTGAAAAATAAAAATGTACAAATGATTAATTTTTTAAATAAATTCATTTCATCTTTTGTAATGCTTTTTTCGGGATATTCACATGTTGAATATTTGTTGGAGTCATCCAACATATTAATCATTTTTTTTAATATAAAGTTTGTTTGTATTGCACATTTTGCACATTTCAATTTCTCGATAATTCCGTATTTAAACTGTAGTTGTTATAATGAAAATGTTAATAAACTAATTTAAAATCGATGTTTCATTAGGCATAAGATTGGATTAATAAAGCAGTTGTTATATAGCTTCGTCTTGACAACATCGATGTCTATTCATTCAAGTGAAGTACTTTACAATATTCAAATTAATAAAAAAAATTACAAATATTTCTTTTCTAATACTTAAATCGTTCTTTGTTTTCTCCTTTCAATACTTAAACCGATTAGCAAATACTCATGGAGTGTACAACCAATGTGAGTTTGACATTTCGAACGTATTCACGTTAACATCGAAAGAAATTTGACAGATAAAAGGAAAACATTGGAATTGATAGAAAATATGTTGAATGAAATAAAATTGGTTTAGATAGGACTTCAACAAGGAAATATGGTTAAATTCAAAGCAGGTAGGTTTGATTCGTACGTGCACAAAGAAATATCTTCTATCAAACCGCCCTTTTTTCAGTGCATCAATGTCTGATTTGTCAGCAAACATTTGATAGTGCCGCTGACAAAGACGATCACATTCTGGGGCATTTTTCTCAAGAAACTTGCGCGGAATGCAATCAAAATTTGATTCGAATCGGTGGATATTTATATGTTCGACACAATGAAGCGACATGCATAAAGAAGGTACCAATATCAGGAGACCCTTTGGAATGTGATGAAGGTAGCACTGCCACAAGTTTGGTGATTTTGAATGCCTTTAGCATGAGAATGCCAGAAATCAAAACAGAACCAGTTGATCAACATGAGAATGAAGACATCTTGATAGATACTGATAACTTTGAACCAAGTGAGTTCCCATCAGAAAGGAAAAACAATGAAAATTAATGACATTTTGAATTTATTTAAATCAATTATAATATTTGGAAGACATTTTGAAGAAAACAGACGTGATGCATACAGCCCAATCAAAGATCAAACAGGAAGTCTTGGTGCAGGAAAATCATGAGCAAATTAATGAATGTGAGTCAACTGAGCAGTGTGAAATTGAACCTGAGACTCAAACACATGCATTACGCATCTGGCATGTGAACTTGAATGATGAAAATCTCAACATGCAGGCAGAATACCCAGATCCGGCTAACACAATCGAGATTTCTAATTCTCCGAAAAAACCAAATTACCCGAGCAGCACGTGTGATGAATCCTTTCAAAGTGTACGAGGAGAAGATAATCTGACTGGGATAAAGTTCGGAATTAAATTGGAAGAACTGTTGATTGACTCCTCACCTAATGAGCTACAGAGCCAACAAGATGATAGTGACCAATGCGATGATGGCGATGCAACATTCGTGATGCAAAATTCAAAGGAACAATTCATTTGCGAAATATGTAAAAAAGAATTCTCAAAGCGTAGTAATCTCCAAGATCACATTCGTCGTCGTCGACACGGACCTAACGCAAACAAATTTAAATGTAGTATATGTGGGCAATTATGTATTAATGAACGCAAGCTGCAAACGCATATTGGGGAAATCCATTTGAATCTAAAAAAGTTCAGATGCAATGCGTGCGAAAAGTCTTTTAAATATAAATCACATTTAATACAACATGAACGAGTTCACAAGGGTAAGATACCCTTCAAATGTTCATACTGTGATGAACGTTTCACATCTCACAGTAATAAATTTCAACATGAGCAAAGTCATACCGGTGAAAAGCGAAATGCTTGTGAGAAAGCATTCAGTAGCAACACCGAGACAAAGAGCACGGAATATCCATTGAATAAAAACAACAACCTAACAAAAAAGAATAATACAGTAAAACCTGTCAATAACGGAACCTGGGAATAGTGGAAATCGTTACAATAGTGGAAAAAAAATTTGGCCGTTGAGCTCTCCCATACAAATTTACCTGTTAATAACGGAAAACCGAAACTTCCAGTAGTGGAAAAAAATTTCTTGACTAATTTTCTCCTTTATCAAAACCACTGATCTACATAAAAATTGTGCAGTACAATTTACATTACATTCATTTCAGTAATATTTTTCACTTTTGTCGCCAAAATCATTACTTATTTATTCAAGCAAACAAATTTTTGACGCTCCCAGTAAAAACATATTCACTTGATCAGTGCATTTACATTAAGTTCGGTAATCATTGTTTCATTTCATGAAATGCAGAATTCATCGCTGCCAAATTGATAGTGTAAAAAATGAGTATCATTTACCTTCCCATTTTGAGTCATTGTTTAGACTGCTTGATTATTTTAAAAAGTGATGTTTGTCATTCACTCAGTGAATTTCACTGTTTTTTCACTTTCATTTTTCCTTCATTCATTTAGTAAAAAAATACTTTTATTTCATTTTTTCCTTTTCACGTTCATTGAATCGCACTTGATTTGATAATTGAATACCCATAAAAATGTATGTTTTGTTTCTTTTTACCCTCAATAATGGAAAGTTTTGTTTGAGTCGACTCAAAAACCTCTGAATAACGGATCCTGTGAATACTCGAATTCTTGTCAATAGTGGAAACAAAATTTCCCCATGGGATTCCGTTATTGACAGCTTTTACTGTAATACAATTGGTATGTCATTCTTACCACACAAAAAAACAGAATAATAACTTTTTTATTGAAATGAAGTTAATAATATTTTTGTAAAATAAAAATGTACAAATGATTCTTTTTTTTGTAATAAATTCATTTCAATTTTCGTAAATTATTTTGTTCGATTATTCATCTGTGGAATATTCAAATAGTTTTCCCTCAATACTTAAGCCCTTCTTCAGTTTCTACTCCCAGTATTCAAACTGAGTTTGACATTTTGAAGGTAAACAATTAGAAGATGTTCGGCTACTGAAAGTAAAACATTGGAGTGAAGTGTATTTCGTTGAATTGAATAAAATAAGCGGGTTAAACAAGTTCTCCACAGAAAAAAATGGACGAATCTATTGCATGTAAGGTTGATTCGAGAATTATTGGAGGAATAAATTCTAACAAACGCTCTATTTTTCAGTGCATCAATTTTTGTTTTGTGAGCAAACATTCGATAGTGCCGCTGACAAAGACGATCACATTCTGGAGCATTTTGCTCCTGAAACTTGCGCCGCATGCGATGAAAACTTGATTCGAATCGTTGGATATTTGTATGTTCGGCGTCACATGTATATCCATGACCCAAATAAATGGAAATTCAAATGCGATTCATGCGAGACGTCATTTGCTAACAAATCCGAATTAAAAATACATTTTGAAACCGAGCATTAAACCAAGATATGTTAAAAAACCGAAAACAGTTGTTAAACACAAATGTCTATTGTGCAAGAACAAATTCTCTTTGAAGGGAAATTTGAATGCACACATGAAAAGGGTTCACAAAAATCCAAAATTCATACCATTGCATGCGATGAATGTGGCGAAATTGTCGCAAGCGAACATTGTTTGCAAGAGCATAAAAGAAAATTTCATTATGGAACATAAAAACCGCTCAATTTTGTATGCAAATTTTGCAACAGAGGCTTTGCAATTAAATCTGAATTGTCCGTTCATGAACAAGGCGTCCATGGTGATAAAAAGTTTCAGTGTCAGATTTGCTTGAAATATTATGCAAGTGAAGGAAATTTGCGCGCACACAACGCAACTGTCAAATGGACTCGGATTTTGATAATCGATGATTAACGTTAGTAATAAGATTTTAGTATTTTTTATAATAACACTCAGAATACAATTTTTTTCACATATACAGTGCACCCCCGCAAATTAGAAACACGAAAATGAGAAAACCTCAGAAATTAGAAATGAATTTCAGGTTTGAAAATTTGTATGGAAAATTTCTTATTTCCGGGGTTCATTTCTAATTTACGGGGTTTCCGAATCATTTCATTCAAGACAAAGGGAAATTTACTTCATTTTTAATGAAAAAACGTAATGAAAGTCTTTTCCATTTCGTTGAAAAACTATATTAGCAGATCAGCTTGAGATTTTCGACGTTTACCATGAAGTTAAAAATTAAGTCACGAAGTAATCTGTTCCATATTGTCTGCGTCAATCATCAATCATCAATCATTAACAAATCGAAACCGATTTGTTCTATCAGAGAATTTGCATATCTATGGGTGAGATTGAGAGTAGCGTATGTTTGATTGACTTTGTTACGAAAGAGAAGAGCAAGTTTCTGTCGACTTAAAAATGGTTAAAAGCGAGTATGTTCGTTTTTATCGGGTCCTCGCAGTTTTTCACGTTTCCGCGGAACTGATAAGAGATAACAACTTGGCGTCTTCGGCAAAGTTGTAGCACTCGAGGTCTTCTATAACATCACTGAAGACAGTTATCTCTTATCTCTTATTAGTTCCGCGAAAAGCGCGAAATTGATAAGAAAAAAAAAGTTCTATATAAAATTTGCTTTTTTATGTGCGCGGTTTGCGCGCAAGTGATAAGAGATAAGAGATAATTGTTCAGCTTAGTTATAGAAGACCTCAAGTACTACAACTTTGCCGAAGACACCATGTTGTTATCTTTTATCAGATGCGCGAAAACCATGAAGACCGCGGAGGCTAGACGGTACTACAACATACTCTACTTTAACGCCAACAGAATCATCAGAAAACACACTCGCCTTTTCAAAAATATAAATCCAAGAAAAAACATACTCCACTCTCAATCTCACCCATAGATATACAAAACTGTATATAGAATGCTAACGTTTTCTGTTTACTATCGTATGATATAATAAGAACAGCCGGTCATCATTTATTTCGGTTTGTTCCGAGGAGTAGTTTATCCAGTAAAATAAACTAACAGACTTACTATATATTTATAATCACTAAGATAACTGCTTTACATACAATACTTGATTGAACAGTGTTCATTATATCGTTGTCAATTAAGCAAATCATTCCCCCTATCAGTTTTTCATTTGATACACCGTTTTTGGATGAAATTGAAATATCTTCAGAAATTAGAAAACCCCCAGAATTAGAAATGGTCTCGGGACATTTTATTTCTAATTTGCGGGGGAACACTCAAAAATGTCCAAACTCAAAAATGTCCGAAAGTTGATTTTTGAACAATTATCGTACGCACAATCCAAAGAAGTATAAATGTGAATTGTGTGACAATTGGTTTCTTTCAAAAAATGAGGTTGAAAGACATACCGATGCGATCCATTTAAGCATTTGAAAATTAAACGATATTTATATTAAAAAAAAATTTGTATATATGTAAAAAAAGATATTTATGTAGATATACTGACGTCAGATGATCAAAAGTGAACAAAAAATGAATTTTCTTCTCATCCGGAATGTCTCGGGCGACTATTTAATCTGTCGGGCGAGTCATCCGACAAGGAATAATCATCTGGGGTATTCCGGGTGACCATATCAGCTTGTGGGGTTGATGGATAGGAAAAGGCATTTACTGTTATCATAATTTTGACAACACTCTTCATCAATCGAATAGTTCAAATAATAAATATTTAATCGAAATAAACATTTCATGAAATTAATAATTTGGTCATACGGGCGCGTAGTTTTGGTGACGACACTAGAAAAAAAACCGCACCGCGTCGGTCTCATTCCATATTTGAAAATTATTTGGTCTTGTTTGCTTAATTAAATTTTGTGTGTGTACCGAATAGTGTTATTTGGCAATCATTTTATTTTTGGACTCAATAAAAATGTTTACAAATAAAAAAAAGTTGTTGGACTTTACTAATTTGCATTTCATAAAACAGACATGGTGATGACGCAGAAGAATGTTGATCAATTCAACAAATATTATACGTTTGGCTCTCTTCCTGTTTTCTTTGGTTTTTCTCATTTTGTTCTATAATTAACATTTTTTTTAATGAGAATTTTTGCAAAATTACTACTTCGAACGAAATTTTAATATCATGACCAAAGTAATGAAATATGTAATATAATTTTCTTCAGAAAATAATTGCGTGCGTACATGTTGACAAAATAAAGATGAAAGGTACCATAGTGTTCGAAATGTATATAAAAACTCCACGGTTCCCGGCCAAAGTCACCAATCGAGAATCGTTTGTTTAATGGTCTCAAACTCCAGCATTAAAATGAAGATAATTTTGTTTTTTATCATTGGTAGCGTAATTGTCATGTGCAGTACAATTGAAGTCAGGGAGAGCTTTTCTGAAAGACTGATGAACTTTCCAAAAATGCTGATTTCGGTAAGTAAACATATTGAAGACAAAATTCAGAAAGTTTTCCAATTCATTGTTAAACTTTGGAAAAGTGTTGCTATTCGATTTTTTTTAAATCAAATTTTTGACTTAAAAAGGAGGTTCGTAAGAAGATAATAAGGAATTGTTTATCTGAAGCAAACTTGACCTATGCAGAAGTTGCAGCTCTAAAGACTCGTGATTGGGTGAGTTGAATAATAATATTATTTTCCATAATCTGGCATTCAAAACGAAGTTTTTATTTATTCTTTTCGTCGTAGACTTACCAATTGAATCCTCAAGAGGAAACAGGACTTTGCTGCTGGTTGAGACCAGTCGTAAGTTGATCAAACACATCATGAATCTCTTGAATAGTTTTGAACTTAATCCAAAAATATCTGCTTATTTCATAGGTAACGGTTGGGAAACTGGCCAAATATACATTTTTGAGGTTTTTGGACATTGGGAAAGCACTTGAAGTCAGTGATGCAAACGCCAAGGTTCCAATATCCGAAATAATAAAAAAATGCGAAGAAAACGTTGGAATTTCATCAAGCAGTGTAAACTATTGCAGGGTTGAACCAAAAAGCGCTCAATTCGTCCATTGTTTTACATCATCACTTAATGAAGCAACCGATGGCAAATTCTTCGAGTCAGTTTCTTTTGATGCTTCTGAAATTGATGGTACTCCAAGTGACGCCTAAAAAATACCAAAACACTATTGAAAACATCTTAAACATTAAAGGCTGATGCGGATTTTGGGATGAAATTTAAAGGGCCAGCATATCCGCTAGGTATCATTTCAGTCGGTTGATGTTGAACGAAAAATCAAGTTCGAAGTGCTACCAGCGCCATAAACAAAACCGTTATGAATCTGATTTTTTTTTCGATATAAAATAATCTAAAAATATCTTCTATTAAAAAAAAAGTTAGAATCAAATTGCAAATTCTATTTCTCAACGCACAGTTTATAAAAAATATTTTATTTGCATCAATAAAATTTAGAATAACTACAATTATTCCATTTCAAATGATTTCCATTCGAAATTTGAAACGACAACGCAGTTGTCACTTGTCAATATGGCGACTGGAGTGTATATCCGTTGATTTACGTAAGATGGCGCTGTTGATTGCGAAGTTTCGAACTTCAAACGAAAATCATTTTCAGTGGAATAATTATAGTTTTTCTAAGTTTACTGATGCAAATAAAATATTTTCAATAAACTGTGAGTTCAGAAATGGAATTTACAATTTTATTCTAACTTTTTTTTTTCATTAGAAGATGTTTACGGATTATTTTGTATTGAAAAAAAAAGTCAGACTCACAACGGTTTTGTTTGTGGCGATGGTAGGGATTCAAGCGGCATATGATAGCCTTTTAAAATTTATACCAAATGTCTTAATTCAATTCGCATTAGCCTTTGAAAAACAAAATCGAATAATTATTTGAATTGCCGACAATAAAACCAAGTTTTTTGTAAAGTTTAATACCCCAATAAAATTTGTTTTCAATTATTAACTTCGTTCACGTTTCAATAGGAATTTCACTTGAAAAAAATGTAATTCAATGTTTCACTTTGATAATTAAAGTCCTATTAAGATTCATCTGTCTTGCGCTCATTTCGAAATTTGCCAGCTGTGCGTTCATATCAAAGTTTTCACTCTTAAAGTTGTAGGATAATCAAGAAAATATTGAAAGAGTTTTATGAATGATTACCCTCTATGATTTTGTGAAGTCATGCATACCAGAAATCGAAACATGATCATACTCTTTGTTGAAAGCATTCCACACAAAGCACCTATGGTGGAGTTGAATGTTATATCAACGAGAATGTTCTGTGTATAACAAGAACTGTGATGAATATGGATACAAATTTAGAGGGAAATACCACCGTTGACAATTCAAGTCTATGAAAGTAGCGATAGTCGAGTCCGTTGAAAATTCAAATATTTCTTGCTCAATATTTGAGCTTTACTCCGTTTTCTCCTCTGGATACTTAAGCAAATACTCAGGGAGCGTACGACAAATTTGAGTTTGACGTTTCAAACGAAAACAATCAAAAGAAGTTTGACAGCTAAAAGGAAAATATTGTGGTAGAGCTAAAACTTGTATAGTGAAATAAAATAAAATAAAATGAAATAATTGGAGTTTTCAGTAGATATTCTAACAAGGAAATATGGATGAATTGAAAGCAGGTAAGGTTGATTCGTACGTACATAAAGAAATAGGTTCTGAAAAACGCTCTATTTTTAGTGCATCAATGTTTGTTTTGCCAGCAAACATTTGGCAGTGCCGCTGACAAAGACGATCACATTCTGGAGCATTTTGCTCAAGAAACTTGCTCGGAATGCGATGAAAACTTGATTCGAATCGGTGGATATTTGTATGTTCGACATAATGAAGCGACATGCATAAAGAAGGTGTCAACCTCGGAAGAAAATGTCGAATCATGTACGGTCATCGAATCAATTGCAGCAACGATGGTGTGTGACCCTTTGGAATATGATGAACTTAGCACGGCCACAAATCCGATGACATTGCATACACGTGAAACGGAAATGCCAAACATTAAAACGGAATCAGTCAATTGTTATCAAGAAGACGAAGACATTTTGATGGATATAAATGGCTTGGAATCAAGTGAGTGTTTTTAGTCACAATTAGAAAATGCAACGAAAATGAATTTAATTTAATGTTTTGTTTTTCAATCGTTTGTTATCAGCAATACAGGAGAATGAGATTCAGCCTCCAGCAGCAGATTTGGCGAGCAGATTTCCGTACATCAACCTCAATCCAGTGGTTGTGTTAGAAGACATTCTCAAAAAAACAACCCCAGAACATTGCATAGGAATCGAGATCAAAGAGGAAGCTATCGGTTGGAATAGTCATGCGTATGAACATCATGATGAACATGAATCAACTGAGCGGTGTAAAACAGAAACTGACAAACAACTCCAAAGCCATTTGTCGATATGCAAAAATAAAAAAGAAACGAAGAAGAAATATAAGTCGAAAATATTCGAATGCTTCGTGTGTCACAAGATTTTGAAAAATAAATGCAGTGTTATAAATCACCTAAAAACCATCCACCATGAAAAGGGGAAGCAGTTCAAATGTGAAACGTGCGGTCTATCATATTTCTTCCGTTGTCATCTTCAATTCCATATCAATGTCGTCCACCTGAAAATTCGTCAATACGTGTGTGGCATGTGTGAAAAGTCATTTAAAACGAATGGAGAGTTACGGATCCATGAATATGTTCACACCGGGCAAAAACCTTTCAAGTGCAAATACGGATGTGAAAAGTATTTTGAGGACTACAAAACAAGGCGCGAACATTATAGCAAGCACACCGGTATAGAACCATATCGTTGTTCGATTGATGGATGTGATAGACGTTTTGACTGCATAACAAATTTGCGGCAACACAAAGCCGTACAACATGTCGTATACACATCCAAACGTAAATCAAAACGTCAATCCAAAATTCATTTGGATTTGTTCGATGAGAAAGAAAAGCAACAGACAGAACATCCAGATGATAGCAACAGCGGCAAATCGGCAAATCCCCACTTTAAACCAATTTACCCATGCAGCAAATGTGATGAATTCTTTCAAAGTGAACAAGCATTGTCGGAGCATTTATCTATTCATGGGAATGACAAGAGAACATTCAAGTGCACTTACGCAGGATGCGAAAAGCGTTTCAAAAATAGACAGGGACGAAAATTACATCTAAACTCACACACAGATGAAGTGCATGTTTGCAAAATCAACGGATGTGGAAGGCATTTTAAATTTCGATCTATTTTGGGACTGCATCAAACCAGAGACCATAGTAAACCGTTGTCAAAAAATCAGGAACGAACTCATCAAGAAGACCAAGGATTGGATCAGGCAGATGAACAAGGAAGAGAACCGATTCTGGAACAACTAGATCAAGTTTCTACATTCATTCTCAAACAAATTGACGCTCCAACAATAGAATACATATTGCCAAACGATGATGAGCCAATGCGACAGAACACAATAAGTATGCAAGATCTGGCCATTAAATTGGAACCCATCCAGCAACCAGATGGTGAAAACACCGTCGAGAATATTGAGCAAAATTATGAATACATCAAGGTTGAGGAGCTTACGATTGAACCCCAACCGTGTGAAGTGCAAAACCAACAAGAGACTGAGCACAGCTGTGATAATTGCGGCAAAAAATTCTTTTCGCGATCCTCGAAGGAGTGCCACATGAAGCGGTTTCATACTGGGTCTGGATTCTCTTGTCAAATATGTAAAAAGATATTCTCAAGTCGTGATAGCCTTCGGTACCACAATTATCGTACACACAAGGCAAAAAAGTATAAATGTGAATTGTGTGAAATTTGGTTTCATTCGGAAAGTGAGGTTGAAAGACATACCGATGCGATCCATTTGAAAATAAGAAAGTTCAAATGTGAACAATGTGAAATGACGTTTAAATATAAGAACAACCTTACAGCACATAGGCGATCACATACGAGTGAGAAATCATACGCGTGTAAAAATTGTGCAGAAATATTTAACAAAGAAATGGAGCTGAGGAAACATATGCTAGTAAAACATCTGATCTGACACAGAAAAATGACAATATACTTTTTTCATAGAAAATAACATTGCGATTTGAAAAGATTCACGATATTCAATGGTTAGATTGAACTGTTGAACAAAAAATGAATAAAAATCCAAAATTCATAGCAAATTCTCTGTTTTTATTTAATTCATGAAACTTTTCAGTTACATTGTGATCCCAATTCGAAATCAAAGCGCCACGAAGCACCACCAGAAAAGGAGTGATTAATTTTTGTTGTACCACCAAGTGCAATGTGGTTTACGAAGACCGCCGACATTGAAATCAACCACTTTGCCGAATTTAGATTTGAATGCTTCGACCCAGTCGCAGTATTTGAGGTGATTGTTGCAAATCTCCTTGATGCAGTCACACAATTTGATGTGCACCTCATAGGCTTCACGTAATTTCCACTGGCACGTGTAGCCGTACGTTTCCATCACCTTTTCCGGCCATAAATTGAGGGAAATCAAACAAAAGGCATCGAAACCAAGACTTTTCAAGCCAGGCAATAGAGTATCGTTGCACATGATCAAATGGCAACCGTTCTTCCACAGAGCATAGGCCACCTCGATTTCGCCATAACGATAGAAAATTCCACAGAAATTCGGGCACGATTTCTGAATGAGCTCATAGAAACGCACCATGTTCACTGTTTTTGAAATTGAAAGAAAATCAAGTCATATTATTGAAGATTGAATACAAATTTAGTTCGATTCAATTGCATTTTGAATGCAGAAATATCCAAAATTCAAAAAAAAAACTTATAAACAATGGAATCTTTGCTTACATTTCACATAAGTATATTCCGGGATATGATAGTAGTAAACTGGTCGGGTTGGGCAATATTTGCAAACGTTCTTAAAGTATTCCACCAAATCCTCTTCGATTTTCGGCTTGTAAAATAGATCTGGCATTGAAAAAAGATAAATTAATATAAATCGTCATGAACTGGCTATTGAAAGAGACATTATTGTTCCAAATGGCATCAGCAATCTCTACCCTTTGAATAATATCAATATATACCTGGCATGAGAACAATGGAATCGACGCCCAGTTTTTCAGCATGCTCACACAAATAGTAGACATCAACGATGTCACAGCCGCCAATACAGAGGGTCATGGTCAAGCTGTATTTGCGGCACACCTTAAACCATTCCTCAGCCAAACGTTTGCGCTCATCGATGCGAAGGCAGGTACCCTCTCCGGTCACGCCATTAACGAACACTCCTTGAACATTCTTTGATTTTAGATATTGACAATACCTGTCAATCACATCGTAATTGACGGATTTCCTGCGAATTGAAACGGAACAAATTAGTGAAAAAAATATAATTGCATAGAGTGAAGAATTTAATTGTTTTTTGTGTGGATTTTAAAAAGAAAATGTTTGGATGAAAATAAAAAGAATTCTTTTTTTTTAAATAGATCAATTTTTCAAATTTTTAGAAAAAAAACTTAGAAAGAAAAGTCGAAGTTAAAAAATCTTCGAAAGATGTAGAAATTCGGAAAAAACACATACTTGTCTTGTGCAAACGGTGTGAACACCGGGCACAAAAGTCCTTTGAATTCGAATTTCTGCATGTTCGCTTCAATTGTGAACCAAAATGGTTTTCTTCAAATAACAAGACTCGTTTATTCTTCACTGCAAGCAGTACTACTGTCTTCTACTTCACTGAAGCGGCCTTATTTATACCGGCATTTCAATCTCAATTACCGGCATCAACGCATATTGATAACCGCATTCTATATGATTGTAAACAGAATAATATTGAAAAATATGTTTTGCAATCGAAACATGTAGAAAAAGGAAAAAGACAGCGAGCGTGATATTGTATTTTAATTGATAAGTAAATTATAATAAATTGAAATCGACGGTAAATATTTACGGGCACATCACATTGATTAGCAATTGGAATCGAATTTGGTTTAGTGTCAACGCAAGATTGCCATGCAATGTGTAGAATTGTTGACAAACACAAGTCATACGATGCGGTAATCATCTGATTTTTATTATTTTGTTATGCATGTTTGCTATGAAAATAAATTTTTAAGTGATGCAGCCATCGAATAACTGGATTTTCATTGGTTATGGCCAGTGTAAGTAGTAATTTTCCATGATCTAACCAATTTATCAATCCAAATGCCCGCACCAAAAAGAAGGTCAAAACAGCATGTTTATTGGCATCCATGATAGAGCTTATAATTGGCCATGCAGATAAGCAAACAAGATCCGCTCAATCATTGAGCCTCAATATCACTATGGAATATTTACCATCTCGCTTCAAACGATATCCACATTGTGGTATTTTTCCAAATGAAACGAACCTTAAGCCGATTTAATTTCAAATATTATCTCTTTATTGAATGCTTTTTTCTTCACAATTTTTTCCTACAAATTAATGTTTATGCTTGAGAATTCAAGACAAATTACAAAAAGTATACCTCCATCTCGACTTCCTTCATGTAATAATATCATATATATCTTATGCGCTAATAAAATTGTTCGATTTAAAAAAAAATTGTATGACAAAATTTAGCGGTAAAAACATTGAATCCATGGACTGTTTCAAAAAAAAAAATTCTATAATAATCAATAGAAAATGTTTGTTTGTAGTATCACAATTTGCTTAATCTACGTTCACCAGCCTTAGATAACAAGCGATGCATATGCTCAAAGGCATCGGTTAAATGTTGACCCATTGCCTTGGCACTGGTCACCGGATTCGATTTGATTGCCGACACGGCTAAAATAATGTCGTCGTTGCGTGGGTTATAGCATATACCGTAGCCATCATCGACGGCTGGACCATAGCACATGAATGATTTTGCATTTGATGCCACCTGACTAGTTGAAATACGGAAACTGGTACTCTTCACATAGGCTTCATCGTTGTATAGCTCGGGAATGGGGAAATTCTTTTCACGTGCAATCAATTTTAATCCAAGCAAATGCCGATCAATACCTTCACCCGATGATGCCATCACAGTGTAATTTTTGTGCGCTTGCACCGCAGCACGCAGCAATTGCACTTTCTCTGGATTGCTGACCGCTGGATCACACATGGCCTCGGCAAACGCCACCGATTCGGTGGAACACGATCGAATGGTTTCGGTTCGGCCATGGATAAACATACGTACTTGAGCGGTTTCATAGTGGGCACCAGGCTCACCGTGTAATCTGAAATGGGGAAATCAGTCATTAGATAAGTTAAAAATTGGGAAAGTAAACCGACTTTGTCGTTTTCAATGGTAGCAAAACACAAGTAGAGTCTAGAGATTGATTTAAAAAAAAACAACACGAAAGAAACTTACTTGTAAAAAGCATACTGCATCGCCATTTGAATGAAACTGTCTGGACTCATGCGCTGTGATTTGATGAAGTTTTTACCGTAAGTTTTGAAGTGTACTACATTTAATTCGAGATTTGATGAAGCTCTGCAAAGAAAGGAAAAGAAAAAAAATCATTAGACGATTTTTTTCTTCATATAAATTTATGAGTGATTTTAATGTCAAACCTTAACCTAATTTTTTTTTATCAATCGAAAATTTCGGAATTGGAAAGCGAGACGGGCATTTATTGTTCGGACGTTTGATTGATGATATCACGCAATGATTGTAGTTTAACAATTTCTTTCTCATTCTTATCCAACTGGCTGATGGCCTTGGCCTCGAATTGTTCAAATTTAATTGCATCGGCACCGGCGTCAGCATCTTTGTTGAGTGTCTCGAGCATAGTTGGTGGAACGTAGTTGGAGCAAATATCAACTACGCTCTGTGTGAAAGCAATAACTTTCTCGTATTTTTCCAATGGCACATTGTATTTTTCGTGCAACGATTGGCTTTTCGTCAGCTCGTATGTTACACGGGTCGTGGCATTTGCGATATTTTTCGTGGACTCATCCAACTTATCGGCATTTTCTGACAAACGCTTCATTATATCGTCCAACTTTGATGCAACCGACATTTTTTTGTTGATTTTTTTTTTCGTCACACAATTTGAATTTACGTTGAATAAATCAGAGAAACGGAATTTCAGACAAAAATTTCACTTTGTAGCTGCTTGCACGAACCGTTTGCCTCTTGGAATGACTCGACAACGATTTGAATGAACAAAAATGTCACATTGTGCTAAAAATCTCACTTTCCACATTCCCGATTTGACATTAGTTTTAGTACATGCTAACAGATGGCGCGCTGGGCGGCCAACTGTTTTGAGTGAAAACTTACTTATCAATATTTTCAGCGGCAATTTGTATGTCTTTCTGCGTCTTTTCGGAAATGTTGAATGGCAATTTCGTTGGATGCGGAAAACTGTGCGCATTTATAATTTCATTTTCACTTGCCTCCATTTTCCTGTCGAAAAGAAAAGAAAAAAACAAACAAAAAATTTAGTAAATTCATTTGGCCAGGGAGATTGCACTCAATTTTAAGTCGAAAAACAATCGCATGAAATACGATCTTCTAAAACTTGTATGATGAATACTTACAATTGCTTGAGAATGAAGTCAGTTAACACAGCAATCGGTTGGCCTGTTGAATGAAAAACGATTCGTTAAATTTCAGCAAAAGCAGCTTCAAATAAATCAATCTCAATCTGAATTTTAATTCACATATCCCAATTTTTTCATTTATTAGGTATTGTGTGTATGTTAAGGTTGAAACTCACCCTCGGCCGGGGAATGTTCATAGTTGATGCCGTTCATTCCATTGCGATTCACAATAAGTTGCAACGTTTTGTTGAACCAACGATTGCCGGAGTTTTGCTTTGAACCACCGCCGTGAATCAACTGAGAACCAGACAAATTGAAATCTTCATTTGGATCTGACACTGGAATCGGTTGATCCAAACAAACAACAAACAGCGATTTTGTGATTGCATCCACTGAAGCCTTATTTACTGCGTCTGTAAATGAAAGAAGGAAAAAAATGAGTTAGAATTTTTCATTTTTGTTCATGTTCAGTCATTTTGTTCATAATTTGTACATATTTTAATGGCATATTCAAATTTTCATCCATTTTTGATTATTTCAAATTATTTTCGAGCGAAAAGTGTATAGAACTACTACAAAGTGAATGTATCATTCAAAAAAATGTCTTATGTTCAAAATTAAAATTAAAATACAATCAAAAACTAAGCCGTACCTTGTGTCAAATTTTCATACGCCGTAGCCAGAGTATCACGATGTTCCGTTGTTAAAAGGCCAACTTGTTCATTGTTTCCACTGTCTTTCAAAATAAGTAAAAGTTGTTCGGTCAACTGGTTTTCCGATAAGAACTTATCAGATGATTCTTCATAAACGGTCACCTTGTAGTACTGAATGAGAACAAATAATAAGTAGAAATTAATAAAATTCTGTTTCCTTCTTAATTTTCTCGAAAAGAATTTGTTTACTAAAAAAACCAAACAAAAAAAAATGAATTTTGAACATGATTTTAATTTAAAAAAAAATGTAAAGAAAAAGAATAGATGACTCTTACCCCATTTTTAAACGCAACCACAATATGTTTCGACTTGGGATTGTATTCAATATGATCTACTTCTGGAGCTGGAATGCGGCAGGTGCCAAAAATCTTCTTATATTGACTCATATCAAGTGGGTATTTGCCGGCTTTTTCCGTTGGAATTTCATTATAGTCAATCATTTGTTTGTATCTCAGTGTTGCCCAGATGCATCTAGCAGTGAATCGACACCATTGAAAGTCATTCTCAAAGAACCGAGTAGGTAAATATAATCCTGGATTCGACCAAATCACAACTGGTGATCGCCACGAGAGATAAGCGATAGTTAACCACCAGTCGGCGAGCCAATTCTGTGATTTCGATGCTTTGTATTCCAGTAAATCATGGAGTTGTGCTCCGATGCCACGTTTAAAATCTTCCACAAGTTCAGCAGTTTTCAAGAATTTCTCCGACGAAAGCAATGGTTGAACTGATTTCAAGTACTTTTGCATGGTGTCTTCAAGTTTTGGTAGTGGCAAATGTGGTAAATTATCTGGATTGGATGAAGTTATGGCTTGAGCGGATGACAATGTCCGCTTTGGAGACAATGTGATCATTGTCTCCTGTTGAATAGAGAGCCTCCGCATTGGTTTCACCTGCATAATGTTGGCATTCGCATCAATTTTCGTCGGTGTTGACTTTCCCATTGCGTTCGAAGCGTAACGTATGCCCGATTTCTATGTACAACAAATGAAAAAAAAATACACCAATAATTTGACAATTATTCACTCGGAATTATTTTTAAATAAAACGTTAGCGAATTAAGAAAAAATTGGCTTGAAAAGGTAGCTTCTTACGTAGTTTGCCAACGTAAACCATTTGGCCGATTGCCAACGCATATGACGTATTGCGATATCTCAAGCTGAGACACACTTTGTTTATTCATGTGTGGTCTTGCTGTGTCGACAAACTCAAGTGAAAGGTGTGTCGTGTGACCAACGTTTTGTGGAATCGGGAGAAAAACAACAAACAAAACAAGTTTATGACTTTGATACGCGATTCGGGAGGCAAATGACAATATTTTTAGAACACTTTTCATGCGCATGAAAATGCTTCGAATGTGATCATAGGTCGGTTTTAAAGTCCACGATTGTTTTTCGTCAAAAAAAATTTTCTTTTCGGCGAATTGAACTTCGAACGGATCGCGCGATGAAAGAATAACGGCATTGAGGCACGGTGTACAAGGGCTCAACGCGACAATGCACCAAGCATAGTGATAAAAATGATTAAACGAACAGAAAAAGAGGAGACAGCCAATTAATGCATTCAAATGTGATACCGATTACACAACTTGTCTGGATCGAGAGCTGTTATCGTCTGGCCGAAACCCATTCATAGCAATCAATAAGCCTTTCTCGGTACAAAGTTCGGAAGAATGATCTCGCGACTGTTTGACGGTTTAATTGTCGTCGAAGTTTTTTTCTGCTTCACACCAACCAAAATACTCTCTGATTAAAGTCGAAATTTCTCGATTAGAACCGTAAACAATTGACAATAGCCAACCGATTCGAAGGCTCTGAATCAAAGTCTCAAATTTTAGCGATCCAAAGTCAATGTTATGCCCTGATTCAAAGATTAATATAACGTAACTCGTTCACTCGAGCGGTGAACTGATACACCGAAATGTTCTTTTACACAAAAAAACAGAGGTCATTTGGTTCTGTAATACATATTTATGTTGAAATTGAAGACTATAGTCTTTAGTATGTCAAATCATTAAAACTGAATGATTGTTCACTTTGAGGAGAGACATATTTTATTCACAATCAGTTTCAAACACGTATTCTATAATTGAGGAGTATGCATATCTATCGCAAGAATAGTTGAACTAATAGCGAACAAACACTTTGCACGTCGATTTTTTGCTCGTCCATTCATTCTCTATTGCTTCAACCATTCGATTTTTTGTAGTGAAATAAGTGTATTTATTTGGTGTAAAGAACCATATCATATCTCTTCCCCTCTTCTTCCGTTGCCGGTTTTTTTTTTCTTCTCTTCAACCAAGTTATTAGTTGAACCAACATATCAAATTTTAACAAAATCATTTGTTTTCATTTCAAAATTTGTTTGTCTTTTCATTTGCCTTTGCCTTTGTTTGTCATTTTGTTTTGTACACACTTCCTTTTTTACGTATGATTCAGCGATCCAGTATACATTTGACCGCAAATTAGAAGAAAACGGCTTGTTTACATACTCCAACTACTGCATAATGCATTAGTCAATCAATCAAATGTGTACGTCTAAGAAATGAGCATGCAAGTGAAAGATGCAACAATAGATCACGAATGAAGCGCTTTCTTTGTTCGTTTGCGTTAAAGCACGTGTATTGATAATTGAGCTGCTTTGTGTATTCTCCTGACGTCAATTCGCATTGAATGTTGAATATGTTTATAAAAGAACCGAAATGTTTCACTTCACTAAAATTCATTTGAATTTGAACCGATGACGTGCTTGCATCAAAACTTGAGTGATAAAAGGAAAGTTCAAAGCCTTTCCTTCGACAAGCGAAGATATCGTGGAAAAATTTGAATACTTTCAAGAACTAAGTACGTAAATTGTCAATATCAAAATTGATTCAAAGCCATTGTTCTACAGTCATCGATCATTTTTTTTAAACCATTAACATTTCTTGCCCAGAAAATCTTGAAATGTATGCCAGTGTTTCCGCTCACAATGATTTCTCTTCATTTTGCACATCATTTTCGCTTAACTTTTGATCTTGAACATGAATCGCCAATTTACCAACTCATAAAAATTTGACTTTTTTTAAATCATTAATGATTTTTTGGCAAACAGAAATGATCACGGTAATAAATAAACTTACGAAAATACTCACGAACCAAGCAATCGGTAGGCAAAACATCTTGTCGGATTTTTGAGTCTTTTCTTTCAAACTTAAACAAAAACTTAATAAATATTTTCCTTAACAAATTAACTGTTCACAAAGAGTCTTTTTGCAGATTAATAAAGAGTTCGAAGGAAAAACTCTTCACTTCTTCACTTTTACTTGAAAACTACGCGGAATTCATTTTTGACACATATTTTGTGCATTCTATTGTATAATAAAACCTCGATTTTAACCAAGAAAAAAGGTCGAACAGTTCACGAATAAATGTTTTTCTCGATGAAAATTCGTTTCACCGAATTTGTTCCACTAAATTAACGCTGGTTCAAGAATGTGTTGTGCTTTTCGACGGCGTAACGAATTTTAATTGAATAATACCGTAATGGTTTTGAGTCTTTTAAATAATTTTTTCTTTATTTTTCTTTGATTCCCGAAAATAAAAAACGATGCGATCGGTTGTAAAGTCTGTCGACAAATAAACTATTGGCGGCTGGCTAGAGTAATGGTTCAAGTGTACGGAGTACGGATTGATTGGCATGTTTCGCATGTTTCAGTATGCCCAGAGCACAAACACACACACACGACGCGATACATTGATATCGGAGCGTCGCTGTGATTTTGTTCGAGGCGCCAAAAGCGTTCAACACAAAGTCGAGACTGATTCATAATCTTTTCGATGACATGCAATTTCGTTCGATGTATGTGAGTTCTTGAACTTGTATTTCTTTCTAAAACGACGACGACGACGACGACGATGACGACGACGACGACAGAGTAGAAATTCTTGGCTACTAAATCATATTTAATACTAATTTGCAATGACCAACACACATGACGACGTGATTTGTTTACAATTTTTTTCGCCGTTAATTTTGCACATGCCTCGCTCTCTATCTCTGTCTGCCTCTCCCCTTGATTGAATGAGTGTTGGAAGTAGAGCTTTTCAATTACAAAATTGACCATGTCTGTGCAATGTGTATGTGTATGTGCCTGAGTGTTGTTAACTGTAAACAAAAAAATGGTATCGCGTGATCGCGACGATGTTCACACAGCGGTACAAAGGTGCATTTGCGATGCGTTTCAGTCAAATTTGAGTTAAGGGTGTTGCAAATGATATACAAGTCAAAAAGGCGCGTGCATATGATTATACAAAATTGTGTGTGTTTTTTTTTGTTATTCAATCGGGATTTGTCCGACATTACGAGAGAACTGGGTGCATTCCTTTGAAATTACAAATAATTGTGAACTTTGGATTATTGTTTCTGGCTTTGATATGTACGACAGTGAATTAAGCGCAATCATCGGTTACAACCATTCAATTACAATGGGAAAAAATTGAAAATCATTTTGTTACAAGTTTTTCATGTTAAAAGCATCCGCAGCGCGATAATCGCCGTGAATTGTCGATTGTGCTTCTATTTTTCAATTGGCCATGATTGATATTTTCATAAACATGCGAAATAGGCGGTATGCTGTGAGAACGAGCTGAAGCAAGCACACACAGAATCAAATATTTACCATGTTTGAAATCCATTTCGTTGAGTAGCGAAACATTTTCCGTATCGTTGCTCTGCAAATTGAGAAAAGAAAAAAGAGAAACGGGATAGAAAGAGCACTACTAGTAAATGAATACAATCAGATAAAAAGCAAATAAATATAATTTTTGGCGGCGGTTGCTATGACATTTTTGTGCATATTAAAAAAGCTTTCGGGCAGAAAAAATGAGAAGCAAAAGATCCAATCAAATGCCGCCGCCGCAACCAGTTAGCAACAAAAACGGCAAGCAACTAAAATGGTTAAGGTACCTCGGTGACTTATGCATTGTTCTACTGACAACCGAAACAAAAACGAAACGATTCAAATCATAAAGACAATTATTTGCAACCAAATTAGCTACTTTAGACAGTTTAGTCGAAGGATTTTCAGCACTTTTCGGTTTCTATCGGCGGAAAATGATGTCTATCGGCTGTATTATGGATAATTCCACCAAAACAATCACTGAAATTTTGTTAAACTTCATTTCGACTACGAGCAAGGCTAATTGTCACGTTTTCACAACACAAACACGATTATAAATATATGGTTAACATTTAATAATAAGTCATCAACATAAAATTACTCGAGAATCATTGCAATTAAACTCAAATCACAAACAATTTTGAAGAAAGACACACCGAAACAACAAACAATCTAAAGTGTGTAATTGCAGTTGAAGAACAACAACAACAATCAAATCCACAAGCAAATCGACGTGCTCAATGATAGAATAAACAACGACAACTGAAACGCAGCTCACGTATTACATGCTGATATTACAACTTTTCCCGTCCCGTTGAGTAATTGCCTTCCGTGCAATTCGAGCTACATACAGGTTAGTCTCGATTGAGTTTGTTATCGTTTAATGTGGTGTACATAGCACTTTATTGGCCCGGAACTGGCGTGCACTGCACATACACAATTTGAAATTGTTTTATGATTTATGGAAATAAAATGAAAGAAAGCAATTGTCCGATGTTGTCAACATCGGTGTTCTGGAAGGTTGGTGTAGTTTCACGAGGTTTCGGAGTGGAATGCAAGAGGTGGTTCAAGGTTCAATGGGTGATTTCCGATTGTAACTGGCAAAAAATCATCATCAAGCCTAATTCATGATTAATGGTTCGATTGAAAATAGGTCTCATTTTCAAAATGACCCATTAAAAATGCAGCGTACACTGCAATCGTCCAATTTTGGCGCGTACAGTAAATTTGCCTATTTTTAATTCAACGACAAATAGCCGCGTGCATCCTTTAAGAATAGCTGCAAAAAGAACGAATTTGCGAACAAAACATCGGTTGACGTTGGCCCATCCGACAATTGTGGGTGTGTTTATGCGTTTCGGCGATCTATTTTTCATCGCTAAAAACAATTAGGATCGTCAAAATGACGAATTTTAACGATCTCAACAATAAAAAACGATGATGACGATATTTCGCACCATTTTCCCCCTCTCATCGCTGAAGAAAAATCTCTCACATAAATCACTTGGCGAATGTACAAAGTCCAAGCTCAAATTTAGCTGAATTGTTGCCTGCCTGTGTAACGAAATCGAAACACTACGCCAGCGACATGCGATTTATTTACTACGAGACCACACACAATGTATATACGGTAATTGTTTGTGCGAACTAGGTGCGCTGAAACAACTGTTGCAAACTGCATCAACCAATAATATCACACGGAAGTCGCAACAAAATTAGCTTTTCGATCATTTTTCAATTTGTGTTGTTGCTTTTTGCGCGATCTTTTCAGAAGGAAAATATGAAAATCATTATCGACGTGATTGATTGTGCATTCTTTGCAAGGTTCAAATTCCAATATACAGCAATGACACAAGCCAACGATTTGCTTTGGATTTCGTTGCATCGACGCAAAGTCTCCTCCATCATTTTTTATCACCTGTTTAATCGACGCAGAAGATCGCTGAGCAATCAAGTTATTTCCGATTTTATTTCGCTCATGATAACGCACCGACAAACAATTTTCTCAACGGGAAATGAATTCATTTCAAATCGAAGTCAAGTGATCGCTTTTAACTGGAATTTGCATACTCAATGATTAGTTCACTTCCCCATATTGATCTTTGGAACCGGTGAGTATTAGAACCGCGAAAGTGAAATTATTATTTAGAAAATGACTATTTTCATTGGACTTTCGACCCACCACACTTTTTGCGATGTCACAATACTCTTCACAGCAACAAAGTATTCAGAATGTGTATTATTTACGGAGGAATTTTCAGAGGGTTCAAATAGAAAAAAAGAAAGAAAAGGAAAGAAAAGAATTCAAATGAAAATGAATTTCAAACAAAAAAGAAAAAAAGGATTTTGAACGAAATGATTGAAAAAATGAAGAATTTTCAAAGACAAAAAATTAATAAAAAAACAAAAAAATAGCAAATGCGTTGACATGAAATCTATTTTTTCAACAAAAAAATATGGAATTCGACTAAAATATTGTAAACCTATTATCACCTCAGAAAAATGGGTTTTCGTGACGACCCTGACTGCAGACTCTGTGGAAGGGGAACGGAAACGACGACGCATATTATCTGTGAATGTGAAATGCTCAGTTACAGTCGACATACACAAAATCGTGAAATATTACCACGAAGCTTGTAAACCATGTTGCGGCAAAAATGTGATGATTTGTGTAGTAAAACCGACGGTGGCGCCACAAACTCTATAGCAAATCAATGTAATTTGGAGTTCATTTTGTAACTAAAATACCCGGTATTTTTGAATTTTCGTGTTATTTCCGCACCTTGGTGTGAACAACACCATTGCTTTAAACGAATTTTTGACATTTCATAGAGTCGAACGGATCAGATTGATTACATAAAGTACATCAATTTCAAAGATGGGGTGTCTCGGAATAGACTGAATACAGCCCGAGCGACGAGTGTTTGACTCCCCGCATCTATCCAATAATCCAAAAATATTGAGAAAAAAATGCAATGATACTACAAAAAGCCAATTTTCAATTCATTACCACTAGAGGGCTAAATGTTGATCAAAACTCCGTAATAATTCATAAATATGAATAATTTCATGTTCCTCTTTGTGTTTGACATTTCAGCTTGAGCAAAGGAAAAGTTTCGGCGTCTATAATAAATTCAATGGCAGGAATCCTATTAATAATTTCATTCACCGTAACCGGTTTCGTTACAATTTCAGCGTGTGACTTTGCAATTTGATTTTTTTCGGCTTCTTCTTTCATTTCCATTACATAAACTGATGTTGCTTTTCGACGTTAATTCAGGCTTGTGTGAAAAAATGTTTAAATTTGCACACAATTCCGTATATTCAGATAAGTTGAATTTTTTTATCTAATTTTTTTAAACTGATTGTTGCTATATTTCATTGGAACTCGCTTTCGATATTTTAATCGAGAATTTCCATACATCTCTGTGTTGCCCTGTCTTAATTCAGAAAGAAAAAAATTCTATACATATAAACCAAAACCAAATAGTATGTGCAATGAATGCTTATTATATTGACAATTATCATTTCACGTAGTAGAGAAAAAAGCGCAGAGAGGCTTAATCTCAAGGTAAATGACTGCTGATGCATTCATTAGTGAACAGTATCTCAGATCCCTTGTATATGGGAAGTGAACACACAATATCAATTAACGTTGAGTTTATATACAAAACTCGACTCGAGTTGCATTAGTGTGGGAGATGCAATAATAAACTGCGCGCGCACGCACGCACACCCAAATAAAAATGTCGTTGTTCAAAGTGTTTAATAATAGCAAAGCCGTTTGGCATTAATTTCAAATCGAGTTTGAATGCTAAAAATAATACGCACCAGAATCGTCACAAAAAACGCGATTGTATTTTGATAATAAGCGAACAAAGTTCGAGTATTCGGATGTGGATGTTGACCGAAAAAAAAACTCTGCATACAGCATACACACACAAAAAAACGGTTTCAACAGGTTTCTCAGGTTAGTCAGTTAATAGTAAACTGTGAGTTATCTCTGCGATAATCTGCTGATTTTACAAACAATTTTCCACCAACGAGAAGAAATTACTTTTTCACAATTCGCAAAAAAAATCATGGGTTCCACCACGAAAATGCAAACACCAACTAAAATAGCAAATATACTACTGATAATGAGTTGCTGATGCATGCAAAATGCAACACTTTCACTTTTGGTTTTATTTAATACGACGACCTTCTCCTAATTATACTTCCAAATCAATCGGCAGTGTTGGCACAACTTACCAAATTTCCTGGCTGAAGATAAATTAATAACTGAACTCGGTAAATCAACGTCACAAACTTTATATACCAATGTGCGGTTGAGAAAGGACAGCCAAAATGATAGCAATTATGAGACAAATTAAAATACGTAAAGCCGTATGTTTCCGTAAGTGATTTTTATCGCCTGTTTATGTCGACTAGTTTAACTAGCTCAAGTGAATCCAAATAGAATGAAATGAATCGAAATAAACAACATTGAGTACGTGTGTCAAAACAGAGTGAGAGTGAGAGACGACTGTTGCTCTCGCATCGAGCAACACCGTACACACGTTTGACGTTTCACTGGCGATGTGACAGAATAATATCAACAGATTGTTGTTCCAAACCAACCGACATGAATCACTGCGACTTGGTCGCACAGACAAAATATAAACAAAATCATAAGATTCGTCGCGATGGACACAGCAAATTCATCGAAAATTTGCCGAATTTGCTGTAATCAACGACTAGACGATCTTGTGTATCTGCTTAATGCGGACAACAAAACGATTGTTAAGAAATTACGAGCATGTGCCGATATAACCGTAAGTAATCGAAGGCGCCTTTGATATGATTTCCAATTATTGTTTTGATTTGAGGTTGATAGCCATTTTGGAGTATTCAAAATTCTAACAAGTTCTGCCAACACATTCATTTAGTTTGTATCAATCCAATCCAATCCATTCTATTCTCAACCTCTATCTCTCCCATTGCAGATCGAACACGATGACCTGTTACCCAAATACATTTGCAAGAAATGCGTGCAAAAACTCGATTGTGCGTACAATTTCAAAATCCAGTGCGAATACATGGATCAAAAATTACGAGAAACCATTGCAAGTATGTTGCAAAAACAGATCAACCTACCATTGAGCTGTCAAACTGAAGCGTTACCCAGCTATGAAGGAAGTGATGAAGACAGTAGCTACGCATATGATTTAGAGCAAAACATCATGGACGATGTCATTGAAGAAGAGTGTATCGAAGAGGAGCAATCGATGGAAGACATAGCATACTATGAGCACGGCGCTGAAACGGATCAAGTTCAAGATGCTGCCCAGTTACAAGTGCAACCCAGTTTCCAATTTGATGCGCTAAAGAATGATATGGATTCGAATGTGATGGAAATCAGTCAGAAAATTGCCGAACTCGAAAAATTCGACAGTCTCGGCTCGTTGCCCAGTGCCAAGGATCCGGTGGAAGATTGCGTTGATCAGGAAATGTTTAGCGTAAAATCAGAAAATGAATCATCGCCGAAAGCTAAACAACCATTTAAATGTGAAACTTGCGAAGCAACATTTTCCATCCATTCCGAATACAATAAGCACACAAAAACGCACGGCAAAAATCGATTCCAGTGTTTGGTTTGCAATAAATGGTTCGCTAAGCGATATCTACTGAATGCACATCAGAAAACACACACCGGCGCCAAGAATTACGAATGCTTACAGTGTCAAAAGCGATACACAAGCCAAAGCAACTTGGATCGACACATTCGCGTTTTTCATCATCAAGAACGACTATACAAATGCAGCACGTGTCTTAAGACATTCTCACAATTGTCGATACTGAAATTACATCAGTCCGTTCACATGGCCGAACGTAAATTCTCCTGTGATATTTGCGACAATAAATTCAAAACCGAAGTCCATCTGAAGTTGCACAAAAAACGACACATGCCAACCGATTATCGACGGCCACGACGCAAGTACACACCACCCAAAAAGATATACAAACCAACACCGAAATTGTGCGTGTGCAATGAATGCGGCAAACGATTCACGAGCCTAGCGCTGCTTCGGAGTCATATGCAGTAAGATTGTTTTTATTTTCCAATTTATTTTTTCAATTTTTTTTCCATTGAATTTTTTTTTCATCAGTAATTTTTATTTACCAAATTCGTATATTTTTTATTTCCAGGAGTCATTCGTTGGAGAAAAAATACGAGTGTACCTACTGCAAAAAACGATTCTCATTCCAACAAACACTACGAAACCATGTTTTTCTGCACACTGGCGAGAAGCGCTTCAAATGTGATATTTGTCACATTTCATTTCGGCAAATTGGTCATCTTCAAGGTTTGCATACAAATGTTTTCATTTTTTCATTCATCAACACTTTCAATTTATGTAAAAAAAAGAGAAACAGTTCTCATGAATTTTTTTTCCATCAATTTCTTGGAAATTTCCAATTTAATTCCGTGCAGGTCACAAGTTGATTCATTCTGGTCAGAAACCACATACATGTTCGGTTTGCAATAAGGCCTTTGCACTTCGTGGCAATTTAACTGTGCACATGCGAACACATGCCGGTGCAACTCCATATCAATGTATCATATGCCCGAAGAAGTTCAGCGACAGCAATGGATTGAGACGACATCACATGGTGCATCAGCGAAAGAACGAAACGACCGCAGCAATTGAACAGATTCTCATGGCACCAACCATCGAAGCTGCACAAACTGAACCAACGACGATCATGCAGCAGTCAGTCTTCGAAAATGCCATCATGCAACAGCCGATCTTTGCTAGTGCATCGGACTTCAATGTGGTCAACCCAGAAATAATACAGTTTATCACATCGCCCGATATTGCTGGCGATAACTCACAAATTATCTTCAAGACTCAGTAGACTAAGTCGTCATCTTTTTTGTACCAATTTTTACATGTCATACAAAATATTTTTACATGTATGCATGAATACAAAGCGATATTTTGATATACTGTTTTCTATTGAATTAAAAAAATATATTTTGGTTAAACTTATTTCACATGAATAGTGATTGAATGAACACAAAAAAAAACAAAAAAATTGTACAACTGTTAAAATCTCATCTGATGTATATTGGAATAAAAGTCTGATGTTTTTTTTTTAGTTTAAATAATTTTGTTTTTATTTACATGAAAGAATTTGTTTTTCGAAATGTTAACAAATGTTAACAAATGCCATGAAATAAAATTATAACTATAAATGAGGTGCAATCACTACGCGGTCTAAGACCAACTCGTGAAAAAAATCCAAAAAGAGAGAAAAATGTTGTTCACTAGTGTAGGTTGTCATGAGAGGATAGATTAAAGTGTAGCATAGCGTAGCTAGCAGGTGAGATTGAAGGTATACAGAAGCGATTTAGATCTGAAATGAAAATTCTAATTTCGTATAACACACCTAGACGAGCCATTTTCAACTTTTCAACAAGGTTTTAACTCTTTATTTACAATTTGCATTCTTTTTGTTAATCTGGACTGAATGCAAATGAAATTTCAATAAATTTCCTAGCACAATAGTTGTCTGTTTTTCATAAATTCCGCTCGCATATTTTCCAAAATCAGAAAATGAATTCATTTGTTATGATTGTTATTGGAACAGAAAATTAAATCAGTGAACCTTGAAATCAATTTTTTAAAAATCGACTAAGAGAAGAATAAAGCATTCGATCAATATATGACCTTAGCAAGCCATTCATTGATACATCAATTTTCGTTAAAAACATTCAATCGAATGAAACTAAATTTGTTCATCTCTACTCAAATCATTGAACAAAATGCACATAATAGAAAAACTTGTTGACTATATTAGTCATTTTACACAAATAGATAGAATAAATAGAAATTAAACTAAAAAATAGAATGAACGAACAATATTTTTCAAATAAATTGGTTATGTCTTAAGAGTTCCTTTTTCGTTTATTATTCAAATATTAGATTTTTTGTGATCTTTTCCCTCTTCATCTCGATCTTCATCTTAATAACATTAAATAATTGAAATATTTTATTTTTCTCAGTATTTTGTTAATTTTTTTTTCATCTAGTTTTCTTTTAAGATATCTTCATTTGTTACTTTTTTTTATGCATATAATAATTGTATTGCTTTAAGCCATTTTCTTTTTTCTTATATTTGGAACATTTCCAATCTACCAAACTATATTCAAATAAATGGGGAAGAACAAAAGAAGCATTGTTTGTATTATTTTCACATTTTATGTAATCGTAATTGACTTTCGGATTTAAAAAAAAAACGAAATGCAAGGGATGACTAGATGATGTGGAATAAACGAAAAACAAAATTGAACAATCTCGTTGAACGAATCAAATGAAATATAGTTAAACCAATGGTATTTTTTTATCATACAATGCACATTGAAAATACTGCCTTAAAATATACATGTTGTATTGAATTGTTCTATCGACCTTGGGTTAATGTATATATATATTCCTTTGCTAGTTGTTGCCATCGCCGTGCAAATGCTGGGAATGATTCAAAATGAGCTTAATTTTTCATGTCTTCTTCTTCTTCTTCTACGGAATGTATGCCTAACTAAATTTGTAACAAATGTTGGCATGTTGTTTTAAGTACAATTTGTGATCTATGAAAAAAAAATTACCAAATCCCACTTGACACTTGTCTTTTCTTCATCTGCATGGCGGCTTTGCTTCAAAGCATTGATACATTTGTTATAAAGAGTTTTTTTTGTCTATTTGTTTGATAAATATTATAGATTAATGATACTTTAACATTCTCTCACATTCCGGGTGGCTGTTGTTGGTTTGTATGCGGTTTAATATTAGATTTTAAAAATGGATTTGCTGAATGTGAGTTGCATGAATGTTTGACACATTTTTTGTTGTTGTCTGCATGCATAGCAAGCTGTCTAGAACACATCGTTGAAATTAACAACGCGAGCCTGCAACTGCTGATCATGCTGATCACTGTCAGGTATTCAGTTAGGCACCAAACCGCCCTCTTCTTCTAGCTTAGTCAAAAATTTGATGATACGGTACTGCGGCTCTGTTTGTCGCGCCATATCAATCAAATCCAACAATTTCTTGATACCGATGAATACTCTGCGGAAGTGAGGAGAAAAAATTGTATAAGAAGAATTAATATTTATGATTTTGATTCAATTAAAATGAACAAAATATTAAATAAACGAAATTCATAGTCAAAGTAAATATGAGTAGTCATATTTTTGACCTCCGGGCGACGACCATCTACTTATCTACGTCCAAGAAAACGAAATGATTTTTTTTGTTCTCTTGAAAGTAGACCTTATTGCGGTTTTTATCGCTTGATTCACATGTTAATCGCATTGGAATGTCAAAAAATGACGATTCATCACATAAGAACATCAATATTTTACAGTATTTCTTTCCTCTGCAAATCGAAAACACTTCGATTTCGTCTTTTCCAGAGACAAAGTTGTAGTTTTCGTCGTCTAAAGCGAAAAGACAATTGACTACACATATTCTTCCTCGGGGAAGAGATTCGAAATACTTACTTGTAACCATTCATTCGCTTCGCCAACGATGCCAAATCGGATTTATTGAAGAGATCATTTTCCTCGAGTACAGCTAATACATGCTCTGGCTTCGATAAATTTGGAACATGCAAAGTCGATGTGAATGCGGATATCATCTCCATGTCCTCCAACACTTGTCTATGAATAGAAACATGATTAGCATCGAGATCAAGTATAAATATCGAAACAATGAGCAGTTCACCTTCGGCTAGTTGTGCAGAGGATTAATAGTTTACGTCCCTTTGGTGGTTGTTTCTTCAACAGCACAAGCAAGGCTTGCAACGTCAAATTGGAATATCTTGGACCGATGGGACCGTAGTCAAGGAGACGTTCAACATTGTCAACGAGAATACAGCTCAATTGTGAACGATAAGCATCGTCGAAGATCTTACGAATTTGTAGACACTTGGCCGATTCAGTGAATCCAACCATGTCATCAGGAGAGCAGATTTTGATGAATGGAAAGTCTGACAAGAGAGCCAATTTGGCGGCCAACGCCGTTTTGCCACTGTTTGGTGGACCTTCGAGCAGAATTGACACCAAGCCTTAAATGAAAAAAAAAATGAAATTTTATTGAAAATTCAAATGAAGAAGAGAAATTGTTGATTTAGACACCCACCCGACGCTTCTGGAGCACGAGCTTGCTGTGTGTACAACGATCCATCTTCGAGTAAGCCTGACACTGGTGTTCCCCAATTGATAATGCCGCGCGACAAATAAGTTTCCAACGCTTCGGTGGCTGTACCGAATGCTGGTTTTACATCATTTGCCAATGCGTGCATGAAATCGTCATGGTTAACAAGCAATTTGGCAATAGCTTCGGGATCGACTTCAACCTTTGAAGCGGCTTTGATCAGGCGATTCATTGCTGTTGACTGTGCGGCACGCACTAAACCTTCCAATTCAGCACCGCTGAAATTTTTCGTCTTCACTGCCAATTCTTTGAGATTAACATCGGGATTGATTTTCTTGAAGTCTCTCATACGCGCCGTATGAATATTGAGAATTTGCAATCGACCATCTTCATTCGGTAATCCAATTTCCATTTGAACCTCAAGACGACCAGGACGCATCAGAGCATCATCAATCATATCCTTTCTGTTGGTCATACCAATCACAAGAATGTTATTCAACTGATCGACACCGTCGATTTTGGACAGTAACTGATTGACAACGGTATCATGAACACCACTGTTTCCAGCGACCGAACCACGAGCCTTACAGATGGCATCGATTTCATCGAAAATGATAATATGCAATCCACTGTTTGGGCCCAAACGTTTCTCCTCTTCTTCAGCATCGGCAAACAGACGACGAATGTTCGCTTCTGATTCACCGACATACTTGTCGAGAATCTGAGGACCGTTCACAATTTTAGGCTCACGTGCATTCAACATGTTTCCGATTTGACGGGCCATCAAAGTCTTGCCAGTACCTGGGGGACCGAACAACAAGATACCCTTAACGTGCTTGCATCCCAACTGCTCAACCAATTCCGGTGGAAATACTCGAGAAGCAAATGCACGACGGAATATCGCATTGAACTCCTTATCCAAACCACCGATTCCCATTTTGCCAAAATCCCAATCCGGATTGATGATTGACTGACGAACGATTTTTCTATGGTGAATGAGAAATTAGATTCAATTAGTAAGTCCATTTGTTCCAACTATTTCTTGAACATTTAAACAAAAATCCGAATCATTTCATTCAAACATATAATGAATTGAGTACATTGCTGTGATTCACAGCCTGTAAATGACAATGAATTTTTAATCGAATATCGATTTCAATGTCCAACAAAAGTGTGACAACAGTTTTGTCATTGTGAATGGTGGCAACAGAAAATGAATAAATTATTATTCATATTAAAAAATGCACGGCCACTCACCCTTTGGCGTTGCCAGTTAAATTGACGGACGAGCTCTCGGCTTTCTCAAATATTACATTAGCATTGCCCATCAATTTTCCAAAGACCGTTTTCTTCAGTTCCACCTTATCCTTATCTGACATTACGGCGGCTGGATCAACAGCTTCTAACGATTTAACAACTAAGGCAAGAAGTTTCTTATCTTCAAACTGATATGCCAACGGTTGGCCCACCGTCAATGGCATTCCAGCGAATTGCATCATGAAATTCTTCGACATTTTATCCGTGTCATAGGGCTCTTGGGATATGCTGATTTAAAATAGAAAAAAAATGAATATTTTGAATTAAAGAATGAGAATGAGAATGAATAAATAAATAAAAGAGAATAAATCGCTTGAAGAACCTTGATTCGAAAAGCAAAAACGAATGAAAAGTGTGACAACTTACGTTTTCTTAGCCAAGAAATCCACTTCTAATGTGACGGTATCCAAGAATTCTGTTTTGCTTTGCGGATTGAAGCGATGCAGTTTCACGTCGATGTCTTGATTGACCGAAATAGCCGCCCATTTTCTCTGTACCAACGAGAAGCCAACATTGTTTTTCGGGCATTCTGGTGTTCGAATGATTGAAAATACAAAATGTTGACCAGGTCCAGTTGACACACGAATATGTCTTCAAGAGAGAAAAAAACGCCCATTGAAAAACTTTTAATTGAAATTTGTGGGAAAAACACAAAATTTGCAATATTAACATACTCAACGTCATCGGGAAAGTCGGTTGGGTTGACGGCAACCTTGTTCGTCAATGAAATCTCGTCTGAAGGACACTTCGTTGCTTTCATACGCTGCAAAATAATGAAAATCAATACATAAGTTCCGTTTTATTTGCGAAGAAAGAAAAAAAAACAACTAAAATTTCAGTATAATGAGATCATTAACCAAGCGTAATGTGTCATGACCGAAAGGAAAGTGGAAAAAAAAGTTAAATGAAAGTTTATTAACATGACCAATAATATTTCCCAAAGGTGCTCTCATTTGGATGAGTGTAATCGAGAGCATGATGGCATATACAATGTATACAATAATTGCTTCTATCACAAAAACATGATTTTTCCATCATCCAATTCATGCTCTCAAGAGCGAGGTGAGAACAAAAAAAATAATCATTGTTCGTGTTTTGTTTGATATATTCTGAATTGGTCGCGAAATAGCATATTAGGCACGAATTCTTACCACACTCATTGTTCAGTTTCGAGAACTTCCCCTTTCTACACAACACAATCTATGCTATAGATAAAATACCGTTCGCCCTTGTCCTATGCGGGAGCAAGAAAAATCAATAAAACTTTGGAAATGGTGTAATAAACACAAATGTGTGGCGCAATAGAAATTCCACAAAATTCACTAAACGAATTGTATGCTAAACACTTGTTTTAACTAATGTTTTCCAACAATTTTATTGTTTCACTGAAAATTTTGTAAGCTATTTTAATGCATCAACTACGAATGTTTCACACAATAATACACACTAACGAATGTGGAAAAAGTGAATTTTTTTTTCTATTCTTCAGCCACTGCAAAGGATGGACGATGATTCTCTATCCCTGTGAATAGCTCGACTGTCTTGTGGTTGCGCTGTTGGAATGGATTTCACTGTGTGACATCAGATAATCGTGTATTTGTTGCGCACGTAATATGTGTTGACTGAGCAAACTGTCAAACACTGAAAATTGTGTACAACAATACAGCGCGTTCGTGGTGCTGTCAGTTAGTTTTCGCAAGTGTCATGCGTTATTTTGCATGCGACTAAATAACGCAATGGAAATGGGATTTTGTGGAAATGATGGGATATATTTTTCGTGTGATTCACTGCGAACATCATTGAATAATTTCCGAATGAATGAAAAAAGAGGAAATAATGAATTGTCGATTTAATTTCATTCGATTTTAATACAACAATTTCCATTTAAACTCACATTTGCCTTCCAAAAACAAAATTAACTCAAACAAAATCACTCAATTTCCAAAAGTCACTCACTCAATCAAGCAAAAGTGTAAACAATGTGGTGCTGTGGAAGTATTCACGCACACATGCATGATCTTATCAGAATTGTGCTCAGTTCCACATTCGGGATTTGGGTGTTAAAAACAGCTGTGCACAATCGGTTTTGTGTTATTCGCGAAAGAGTGTTGGCTCGTTGTGAATTGGTCTTGCGCACATCATTGTTCACTTAAATTAGTTTTCCATTTCCAATTTACTACCGATTGAGAGGAAGATAGTCAAAAGCCGAACGCGAGCCAATTTTTCATTTGTCAAATTCCATTGGAAAACACGTGTCGAGCATTCGCCTGTTGTTTGAACAGTCGAAAGTAATTAACTAAGCAAGCCACATATACAGCTGCTCTTTATTTCGCGGAGAAAGTCTTTAGTGCATTATTTTTGTCGTAATTTTCGATTCATTTTTTTCACATTATAAAATGACATTCAGAGAGCAACCAAAAGGATTTGCAACCAAAGCAATTCATGTGGGTCAAGAACCAGAACAATGGTCACATCATTCCGTCATTCCACCTTTGGTGACGAGCACCACCTTCAAGCAACCGGCTCCAGCCGAACCAATTGTAAGTACCCGAAAAAAAAATCACTCAATTCGATGGAAGTGTGAATAAACGAAGAAAGCGCCGAATTAGAACGTTTAGAATGAATTGGCAGTAGAATTGTTGATTTACTGAATGCGCAATTTCGAAATTGTGAAATCACACGATAAATATAAAGTCATGCACAAACCATGATATTCGGTTTGAGTAAAGAAAAAAAACGCGACGTATAGAATTCACAGTCGCGCCACAAATTTTCGAAAAAAAGACGATGAAAAAATCGTCAAAAAATGGAATATAACGACAAGTTGTACGGATTTAGTGTGTTAGCAGATCTATCACACGTGCCCACACAAATCAATACGAACAATCCGAACTCGAAATTTCGAAATTTTTCCGTCCCGTCACATGTTGACGAACGAGGGGTTTTTGAAAAAAAAAATGATAATAAACGCGATAACTGGTTCTTTGTGCGCAGCAAAAAATAGACGATGGAAAAAAATACGAATTTTGAGAAATAAGCGTGAGTCGACGATTTACAATCCAATGACTTAAAAATATGATACAGTTGTTTCTGTATCAGTCGTCGACATTCACACACCGGCCGGTGTACGAAATGCCAGCTGTGTGTTTTTTCCGATTGTGCAGTTTGAGAGTTTTTCATTAAATTACACTCCGACCGTACGAATCGTATAGCAATCACATGCGTCAATGAACTGATTCCATTGAAAATCGGATTGTCTTTTTTTCTTGATTTTGGCATGCGTTGGAATTTTTTTCGTTTCTGATGAAATAATTTTGAATAGAAAAAAGAAGAAAAATACCATTTTGCAAGTCATATTTGAATAAAAAAAATGGAGTCATTTGTTATTAAATCGCTTGAAATGTATGTTTTCAGTTAATGAGATAAACATACACTGATAACGGTCGCTTGCCAATTGCTTTTTCTAATTCCGTTTTACTGCTAATTCGGTTTGCGTTCACGCTGCGGTGGATTTCTTGTAGTATAAAAGAGATAGAACATGTCATCAAATCCGAAGCGTCGTTTATAATTTCTTTTGTGAAATGGCATCGTTTATAGTTCATTTCGCATGTCAATTGTAAAACAGATATCAAATAATTGATAATTGAACACAATCAACGAATTACAACACACACACAATTAATCACAATGTTGATGAGAATTTGCATTTTCAAATTCCCCAGTGACAAATAGTTTATAGTCTAATTCTGATATACCAAATATGTAAAGTGAGTAATACTAAGATATTTTCGTTAAGGCTAATGACTGGACATTTGAATCGAATAACTTTCAATTAACACGTTAAGAATCAATTTCGAAAAAAAAACGTATCGATTTTGCAAAATTTTCGGTAACCTTTCGGGTCGCTTTAGTATCGATATGTACTTCAAACATGTAAAAATAACAAATTCTATCGATTGGAATTTGCATTCTTTTTTGACTTGGCAATTTGCATCTAATTGAATTTTGACCTGACTTGACTTTTAACACGCACTTCCTACGTCCACTGTCACCATTCAATTAGGACATGAGATTTTTTTCGGAATTGAGTTTGTGCCCGAAAAAATTCCAGAACAGAGTAAATGAATTTGAATTTGAATTTGAAAAAACAAAATGAAAGAGAGAATGAGAGAGAGAGAGAGAAAGAAAAGTCAAGTACCAGTTTGCTTTCTTATTTATTCTTCTTCAAAGCAAGAATAGACAAATGAAAAAAGTGAAAGAAATGGGAATAAATTACGTATTTTCAACAATGCTTTTTGCTTTCATTACAGCTTTATGAGTACAGTCGCAGTGGAAATCCAACTCGTGATGTGCTTGAAAAATGCTTGGCTTCGTTGGACAACGGCAAATATGGTTTGGCATTCTGCAGTGGTCTTGGCACAACAACAATCCTTACACAGCTTTTGAGTGCTGGTGATCACATTATTTCGTGCGATGATGTGTATGGTGGCACAAATCGTCTCTTCTCCAAAGTCACATCGCGCCAAGGTATCGAAATTGATTTCGTTGACGCACTCAATTTGGATAATGTGAAGAAGGCAATCAAGAAGAACACACGAGTAAGTGATATTTTGCGATTTTTTTTTCTTCGCTGTTTTTTTTAATTTGCTAATCAAATGGTGATCTTACATTCTTCGCAGATGATCTGGATTGAAACTCCAACCAATCCATGCATGAAAGTCTTGGACATCGAAGCCATTTCGAAAGTGGCTCATTCTCATGAAAATATTATTGTTGTTGTTGACAACACATTCATCACATCGTACTTTCAACGTCCGTTGGAATTGGGAGCAGACATTGTGGCTTATTCGATTAGTAAATACATGAACGGGCATTCGGATGTAATCATGGGTGCTGCCGTTCTTAACGATGAGAAATTGTACGAGCGCATCAAATTCTTGCAAAATGCTTCCGGAATTATTCCGGCTCCATTCGATTGCTATCAAGTGAATCGCAGTTTGAAAACATTGTCGCTGAGAATGGAACAACACTGGAAATCATCGGTGATTGTCGCCAAATTCTTGGAATCACACGATGGCGTTGAACGTGTTCTGCATCCAGGTCTTCCATCGCATCCACAATACGAATTGGTGTTGAAACAAACTTATGGCCACAGCGGTATCATGTCATTCTACATCAAGGGTGGTTTGAAGGAGTCAAAGAAATTCTTAACATCGCTTAAAGTATTCACATTGGCTGAAAGTTTGGGAGGTTACGAGAGCCTTGCTGAGCTACCGTAAGTTTTAGACTAGTGTGTTGATCTATACTTTGGCATTTTCGGTATCTTATTAGTGGTCTTATTACTTATTATTCTAATAAGATGAACCTATATTATTACTCATTACTTTTTTGCACTAGTAATATATCTAGTGAGTATAGTTATTAGAATGTTATTGGTCGAACGAGTAATAAGATGCATGGTATCTTATTAGTATAGTTATTAGATGAAATATATTTGAGTAATGAGATGGTGATGTTATTAGTCTGGAACCAAATTTTTCCCATTGATAACAAACTGATAAGGAGTGCGAAATTCGATGTGGCGGTAATATCAATGGATTGAGCACACAAAATACTGCATGAGAATCGAAAAAAAATTTAAACTTTTTTTTTCGATTTTCGGCTGTATTGCGACCGTCTACATGGGAAGTTTGTATGAAATTCTCGGAGCGCCGCTGCTTTTGCATTGGCTTCAATGGCTAAATGTACACTTTGAAATATCTCGAAAACGGCTGGGTAAATCGGCAAAATGGACCGTGATGTCACTCCCGAAGGGAGTGTAAACACCCAGGTGGTTTGATGGCCTAGAATACAAATCCGGTGGAATTTCAGCTGATCCATGGATTCTCAGAATTTGACCTGATTCCAGAAGTCATTTTACCTATGTTACGACAACGCAAAGAAACTGAAGTGCTGGAATTAGGTCAAATCCTGAGAATCCATGGTGCCAATCCAAATTTTGTGTGCTCAATCCATTGATATTATCGCCACATCGAAATTCGCACTCCTTATCAGTTTGTTATCAATGGGAAAAATTTGGTTCCAGACTAATAACGTCACCATCTCATTACTCAAATATATTTCATCTAATAACTATACTAATAAGATACCATGCATCTTAGTACTCGTTCGACCAATAACATTCTAATAACTATACTCACTAGTTATATTACTAGAGTAATAAGATTGCATCTTATTACTACTTATTAGAAGTTACTAGTAATAAGTAGTAAGTATCTTATTAGTCACTATTCCAAACTATATGTTGATCAATGTTCAATGGACATTAACACTCATGTTGAGTGTTAACTCAACAAAAAACATAAACAGTTTCGTTGCTTTTGTTCATTTTTAACAAAAATTATTTGAATCAAGGGCAATTTAAAGAACTTGTTTCATTTTCATCGTCGCTGTTTGACTGTCACTAGAACGTCGTGAACAACACACATGACAGCCATCTGTCAAAGTCATTTCGTCATGCGTCGATGAAACTTCCACCACTTCTCTGTGTGGTGGAGTGTGCAGACGGCAAACATGTTTTCTTATTACGTATATTTGAATTTTTTTCACATATGATCACATATGGAAACATATGTGTTGGATAACGTTATATTCTCTATTTGCACAATTTTTAAAATCGGAAGAAGAATTCATCACAGTTTTTTTTTCCTTGAAATTAATTTGAATTATATGGCACAAATATGAAATGCAAAAAGTAAATATACTCTACTTTTCACCACACACAAGGATGAGGTAATATTGTAAATGACGCATGACGAAATGACTTCTACAATTAAGTCAAAGTGTTGGTGTGTCGGTGTGTTGTGACATATAACGAATAGTGTCAAATCACAACAACATTGAAATAAAAACCGACAGTCTAATCCTGAAACCCGCTCTTTGAAAATTTTCAACTTTTTTTCAATTCGTCACATGTGCTTGGATTTCCAAATTTGACTTTTTCATAAAAAATTTCAATTTTCGACTTTTTTAAAAATTGTTCAATTGAAGAGTTGCATTTATTCATTAAATTTTCTCTTTTATCCAACCACAGATCGTTGATGACTCACGCTTCAGTGCCAGCAGAGCAACGCAACGCCTTGGGAATCAATGATTCATTGATTCGTCTATCGGTTGGGTTGGAAGATGCAGAAGACCTCGTCAAAGACTTGAAACAAGCATTAAAAGCCGCCTTTGAATAAATCTTTATCATTCTAAGAATTGGCCCCAGTAAGGCTAGCTTTAAGCTTAATGAAGCTATAGTTATTCTACTTTTTTTCATTTTCCCCGAATTCCAAAAATTAATACATTTAATGTTTGAAACGTTTTTTTATATACAAGTATTGTTGTATTTCGTACAGATTTTTTTTATAACAATTTTTAATCAATTTTAAGGAACAAATACTTTTTCTACTAACTTAAATAACATAGTTTGTGTAAGCGCAATATAAACCGAAACGAAACAAAAAACAGAGGAAAAACGCTCAAAAATAAATTTGATCCCTTTTAGTATATGATGAGATGGAAATTTCCGTTTTATTAACATTGTTACAAACGTATTGTGTCATTGTTCACATCCGATATAATGTATTTTGATTAAAATCTCATTCAATCCTATTATATTGTTGTCCACGTTTTGTTCTCCAATACGTTCAAGTGTTGATGGCTGTGATTTCATTGGGTTGTTGAGTGCAAAATACGTATTGCCGATGTTTGGTGTATACAATCAGTAGACTGAAACAAAGGCTGTGTATAATCAATGTTCTGTTCTTCCAAGAAATTCTATTTTTACAAGAACATGTTCGCTATTTGACTTTTTTCACGTAGTTCGCTGTCCAAAATTGCTATGCTACAGATTCAATATGCGCGATATTATTGACCAATTGCAATATATTGTCGAATTTCAGACGGTCTTTATCTTATAGACATGAACATGATGAAAGACTTAGCCAAAGTTATCGTATAAAAATCTTTATTTCCATACTGAACAAATTTTAATGGAATCGGAGCAAATAAAAGCATACAAATTGCGTGGAAACATTCAGTCAGGTGAGTGCATAGAAAGCAGCTTACGCCGAACATAGAAAAATTGATTGGAAAAACGGTTAAAAGTTTTTTTAAAGCGATAATAAAGGTACAGTTGAAAAATAAACTGAAATAAAAGTTGAAACTCGAACGAATTTAGTTGAAGCGAAGAAAAAGTCGGTGGAAAATAAAATAAACATCTTCGGAAAAGTAAAAAGTATTTTGGAAACATATAAAAATGTCTAATTGCAACGGAAACTCGAACCAAACTATTGACAGAGGTTGTTTTAACACACGACACGAAGGCAATACACGCCGGGCAAGAGTTCGATCAATGGGGCCATGGTGAAATAGTACCACCAATTGTGACATCGGTGAATTAATATCAAGATGAGCCAACAAACAGAGAAGTAATCCCTGAACTAGCTCAAGTGAGGTCACAGTTTTATTTCAATGTTTGTTTTTTATTAATTCTAAACGTGCTTTGGTATGGTCATCCGGTTGCGGTGCAATGACTGCTGTTTTGCATCTCCTGAATACCGGTGATCATATGATATCGGCTTGTGAAACGTACGGCGGAACACGAACACTCTTCATGCACTATACCAAATCGCTGGGAATCGAAATTGATTTTGTTGACTCAACCGACACAAATTCGGTTAAATTGGCCATCAAATCGAACACACGAGTGAATTTTTTTTAGAATATTCTCTTTCCTCCGGTGGAAACTTTTTCGAGTAATAAAACTGAATCTCTTTTGTTAGTTAATTTGGATCGAAACACCGATGAACCCTTGTTTGAAAGTCTCCGATATTGCGGCCATAGCGGAAGTGGCCCATTCGCACAAGGAAAATGAGATAATTTTTGCCGTTGACAACACATTTTTGACCTCATACTTCCAGCGTCCATTGGAATTGGGTGCGGATATTGTCGCTTATTCGCTGACAAAATACATGAACGGTCATAACGATGTGATGGCTGGTGCTCTCGTTGTTAATAACACGAAAATTTATAATGATTTGAAATTCATTCAAAGCAAATATGGGTTGATAGTCTCACCTTTTGATTGTTATCTAGTAAATCGTGGTCTCAAGACATTGCCGTTGCGCATGCAGAAACATTGCGAAAATGGTATAACCGTAGCCAGATATTTGACGATGCATCCGAAGGTATTGAAAGTTGTTCATACGGCTTTGCCTCACATCCCCAGAGCGAATTGATTAGAAAACAGAGCTCCGGTCACTGTGGCATGCTCATAATCCAATTGAATGGCACGATAGTTGAAGCGAAGAAATTTATTCTAAATCTTCGTCTCTTCCTGTCTTCGGACTCTCTTGGATCAATGACCAGCTTTGCTGTGCTGCCGTAAGCTAATTAATTTCCTTTTTTGTTTATTTCTGTACACAAAAGAGTACAAGTTTACGTTTGATTTGAGTGCAGGGCATTTCAGAGTCATGTATTCGTGCCGAAGTATTTGCGAGAACAGCTCGGAATTTTCGATTCAACTGTACGGCTCTCAGTTGAGCTGGAAAATATTGATGACCTCGTGAACGATTTGGAACAAGCTCTGCAAAAGGCGTTCGAATGAAAACACCAATGAAACTCCATTTACTGCAGTATATTGACCATTTTGTATGCATCGTTTCAATCGTAAACACTACAATTTCCAAAGCAAAATCGAAGCACTCAATTAACTTGAATCTAAGTTGGGCGATTGATTGAAAATGGGATTTTATCAAGAAATATTTGAAATTTTAATCAACAACGTTTAATATTCTCTAAGATTTTCCAAAAGCTCCGATAACTTCAATCAAAGTCAATGAAATCCAAAGTTTTCTCAACATTAACTTTGAATCAGCAAAGAGATTGTAAACTTTTAATAGTTTATAGCCATAGTTTTATCCGGATGTTTGATTTCACCATAACTATGCAGTGAAATATTCTGCGCAACAAAAAGGAAAATAGTCTTTTCCAGAACATGATTCCTCCGATTTGTTTCTTTTCCTCACTTTTTGCTTTTTTCCAACCAACATTACTTTCGTTGTTCTTTAATATTTTGCTGCTGAAAGTATATCGTAGAAGATGATGACATACAAGACATCCAAAGCCCCTTCTTTAGTATATTTACTCTAGAATTCTTCATAATCTTTGTATGGAGTTTATTCAATTTGTTTACAATAGTATTCGGTTGCCTCGCTACTCAAACGACCGACCAAGCTTTGCGATAGGTAATCTCTCATTCGTATATATGAGACAAAAATCACATGGAGAGCAAACAATGATTGACGCAATAGTTGAACGACAATCGTTTAATTGAATCTAATAAATGCTACTTTGTCGAAACATGTGACGTCAAGAAACCAAATATGGTCAAGAATTTATAAATTGGGAATTGGATAAAAATTCAAAGTGCCAAAAATATATATCAAAATGGTCGAATCAAGATGCAATTTTGTGTAGCTTATTTATTTCCTAAGGTAATGATTTCTTGAGAATTTTCATCGAATTCGAATAACCTTTTTGGTGTCAAAACAGGCAAATTTTCGAATTGTCTATGTTTTTTCTGCTTATTTTCCATTTTCACTTTATTTTTAAGAGCTCGAATCTCTATGAAATTCTTTTTTAAACAAATCAACAGAAATGTATTGTGGAAGTAAGAAGTGCGTGCCTTCATGAACAATTGAAGAAAAAAGTGAATTTTTTGAAACAGCCGCGATTCATGGGAATCAAAAAGACAAATTAAAACACTCCAGTCCAACAAACAAACGAGTATATCTAACAAGGTATAAAAGATAGAGATATAGTTCATTGATATAAAATGGTTTTTTGTGGCTGAGACTTGTGTCTAGTGGTATTTAGACTTATGTAAAAGATATGAGCAAAAATATTTCGAAACATCTTACGATTGTAACGCTCCAGTCCAAATTTTCGACCATATGTAGGTTAGCCTTTGGCATATTTATATACATATATATTTGACAATTCATCACTTGTTCGTATTGAAGTGTATAAAAATAACTACAACTTCATTTAAACCATTAGTTTTGCGGATGAGTTTGTGTGAAACAAGTGATTATATGCAAAGTAGATCTACTTTAGATTTGAATTAGTAACAACAGCTGCATACATTGCCCCTTATAAAGATGTTCTATAGAAAAAATAGCGAACTGATTGAAATCGGTTCCCAAGCGCATTGGCCACGCGCTTCACACGTTGTGTGACATTATTCGCTTCTATACTGTATAATGAATTTGATCGGGAAGCCACTGTTGTCTCAATATCGTTCACAATCGATGTATGTCCCACAATGCGTGAAGCGTGTGGTCGATGTGCTTGGGTTTTGTTTCCAGATATTTATTTTTAGGACTACTGTTTTGATGTGATATTCTAAAAAAAATCGACATTTAATCATGACTAAGTGAAAATGGATTGATTAAATCGATGATTACAAAATACTTGAGCTTGAACGAAAATAAAAGCGATGAGATAAGAACCTGCCACTCTAATAAATTAATAAAAACTAACCATTACAAACCGATTCTTTATGACCACGTTTGATTCCGAGTCAAAACACGTTCCATAAATGAGTTATGATGACTCGTAGCATTTTAAGACATAAGCATTTTTTGGCAGATGTCCATTCGTATAAAGATTGTAAGCAAACATATGTGTCTGTATACAGATAATCACACTTACATTGTGGGAAATAGCTTCAGAGGGAATAAAAACATACCGAACTCAATTCAAACAGTCAGTGGTGTGAAGTGAGCGTAAAGCTACAAACTCAGTGACAATAAAATAAAATATTCAAACAAATTTGGAAGAATGTCTGATGCCGGGGAATATACTGGCTATGAAACTAAGGCCATTCATGCGGGACAGGAATACGATCAGTGGAGTAATAGGGTATATATATTTTTTTAATATTTACTGTTATTTTTCAGATCGAAATTATTTGTTATCTATAATTTTCGATCAATACAGGAAATTGTACCACCGATTGTGACATCAATGACATTCTTCCAAGATGATCCAACGAATATGCAGGTTCAACATCGATTTTTGAATTGCTTGACATTTTGCATCATCAAATACATTTACAGACAAAATAAAAACTCATACATCCCCACACAGAAGTGTTGTGCTATGAAGAATCAGGGCTGGAATTCTAAGTTATTTCACCAAAATCGTTCAGAATTATTTTTTTCGTACATAAGACCATATTGGAGTGAAAGAGAGAGATTCCACTATTTTTCAGCGTTCCACCGGAATTATTTCTCACACATTTCACTCTTCCTTGAATTATCGGAATAATTCCGATGGAACGGTGAAAAATCGTGGAATCTCTCTCTTTCACTCCAATATGGTCTTATGTACGAAAAAAATAATTCCGAACGATTTCGGTGGAATTCTTAGAATTCCAGCCCAGTATGGACCGCATACGTTCGCTACACAGATGTTGTGCTCTAACAAAATACTACATTTGTAGTACAAACTTCTGTGTGAGAATGTATGAATTCTAATTTTGTGTGTATTCTCCCATTTATTCAATTCCAGCCTTTCTATTTGCTTTCATTTTTAGGGCCATTATTATGGACGTTACAGCAATCCAACACGTGATTCACTCGAACGTTGTTTGGCTGCATTAGATAATGGAAAACACGGTTTAGTTTATCCGTCGGGATGTGCGGCTATAACTGCGTTGTTGCATTTGTTAAAACAAGGCGATCACATTGTATCAGCAGCTGAACAGTATGGTGGCACACGATCGCTTTTTTTGGATTATATTGAAATACAAGGAATCGAAATTGATTTTGTCGATTCAACTGATTTGAAGCAAATTGATGATGCTATCAAACCAAATACAAAGGTTTTTTTTATACAAATCAGAATTGAATTTGCAATTTTGGTGAACAAAATTGTTTCTTGCAGTTGATGTTCTTTGAGACTCCATCGAATCCATGTCTAAAATACTCTGACATTGCAGCTATTGCAAAATTGGTCCATTCGCAGAATAATGGTCAAATTGTTGTCGCGGTTGATAATACAATGCTGACATCATACTTTCAACGACCATTGGAATTCGGTGTCGATGTTGTAATGTATTCTTTAACTAAATATATGAATGGGCATAGCGATGTGTTGGCCGGTGCACTCGTTCTCAACGACACAGAAATCTATAATAAATTAAAAATCGTTCAAACAAAATATGGTTCAGTGCTGTCACCTTTTGAAAGCTTCCTGACAAATCGTGGTCTCAAAACATTGCCTTTGCGCATGCAACGGCATTCGGAAAACGGCATCGCCGTTGCCTATTACTTGGAAACACAGAAAAATGTGGTCAAAGTTATTCATCCAGCATTTCCATCGCATCCTCAGCACGAGCTTGCAAAGAAACAGAGCTCAGGTTATTGTGGTATTGTTACATTCCAAATAAATGGCGGGCTAGAAGAATCGAAAAAATTCGTTCAAAACCTTCGATTGTTCCAAAGTTGCGGTAGTCTCGGAAGTTACGGCAGCTACGTCATGATTTCGTAAGTGTAAAATGAATTTCATTTGGGGCACATCAAATCATAGCTTTTATTCTTGGAGTTTGGTATACAATAATTTGTATTGTTAACATTTCAAATGATGATGAGAAGAGATAATAATTCTATTATATTTGACGTGCCCTTGAACGTTATCTGTATACAGATAATATAAACGTTCAATCCATCAATCAAAATTAATTTCAATATTTTCTGTAGAGCACGCGTTAGTCACGTAGACGTGCCAAAAGAAGTCCGGGAATCCATTGGAATATTCGATTCAACCATTCGATTATCAGTTGGGCTAGAAAGTGCTGATGACCTCATAAAAGATTTGAAGCAAGCATTTGAAAAAACATTCGCTTAAGCTCTATTATCTTTTTTTGTTTAGAATTCCACTGTATTCTGTGTAGAACAAATAAATTTGATGATATGCAACAAAAAATCAATTTATCCTGATCAAATCACATTTACTTTCAATTGAAATGATTCAGTAAGATTGGAAGAATAAGAGGAAGAAAAAGGAGAACAAGAAAAGATGGAAAAAAATGAGAAGTAAATAGCAAAATTATTCATTTGAATCAATGCAAGCAGTATTCAATATGAAAACATTGTATTAATCAATGCCACTAATCAATGCACAGATATATTATATTTTCTTATCATTTATATTCTTGCTTACTAGTTAGCTATTATGGCTAAACACACCTTGCTGTATGCTGTATATCTTGAACCGAACACATCGGTTTAGCGGCAGCTCCTTAACACTACTGACAGACAAACATACGAAAATACGGCTATTTCATTGCATACACACAAATGATACACATAACTTCTTCCATCCTAGGCTAAGAGCCCCACAAAAATTATTCCTACATGAAAAATGCGAAAACACTACATTAATCTCCATAAAATTTACAATTGAAATCATTTCGGCACATCTCTCAAGATTTGAATATCAGCCCGAGAATATCAGCGTTACCGGTGAATGTTTCAGTATCAAATAAGTATAGGAATAAGATGCATTTGATCCGCTGAGAATAAAATAGCTAGTATTGAATTGGCTACCAAACAAAAGGGAACATATTACGACAACAACTCCTCATGAAAAAAACGCTGTGTTTCGTTTTTTTCAGCACTTTTTAATACGCTGTTCTTATTCTCACCAATTCATTTGCGCTAAACATCTAGCGATAATAATCGGACAGCTTTCAATACACAGATAAAATCAATTTTTTTAATCATTCATATTCTTATTCTTGTTTACAAGCTAGCTACATATTCATGTCAATGAACGATTTAGCGAACGCAGCTATCACTTTGAAGTGATAAGAATGAAGATTCTTTTCTATCTAAATAGCTAACTAAGCTATTCTTATTCTTTATTTAATCATTGATTCATTTGTACAATATAATGTTAGAAATATAATGCTCCGTAAAAACAGGATACATTTCAATTACATTTTTCACCTAGTAGTTTCAAACGTTTGATTATGGTTTGTATTGAATAATGACGTTTTACAATATAAATTTAAACCCAATATTAGTAAAAATATATTTCTCTTGTATATAAAATAGATTTCGGTATGGGATATAATTTGATTTGAGGATTTTGATTCAAAAACCAAAACCTTGAATCATGAGTAGTGTATGCAATAAATAGTGAATAGTGGAAATGTTTCAACTTATCATTTATTGCGTATTTTACGACGAAGTGCTATCGTTGACAGATTTAGCTAACCAGTAAACAAGAATATAAATATTAGAAAATTGACTATCGTCAGTGAGCATGCACAATTGCACATTGCCCACTACATGCTATTATTGTCGTATATAAATATAAGAAGCCGTTCGAACGCGTGTTAGTCGTTTAAGTGCCGTGAACCAACTTACTACTACGGTAAACTAACAGAATAAACTCTATTCAAAATCAAGATCATGGCAGATTCAAAAGAAAACACCAACAAAGACTGCGGATTCGCAACGAGAGCTATTCATGCGGGGCAGGAATACGATCAGTGGAGTAATGCCGAAATCGTACCGCCGATTGTGACATCAATTACGTACTATCAAAACAATCCAGCCAAAATGGAGGTGAACGATGCATTAACTTTCTTGTGTTTTACCAAGATTTTTCGTTTGTTTGTGATTTTTGTTGCTATTCATGGATTATTTTAAGGAATTTTGATTTTTGAGTATTGACAACTGCCATCTGATCTGGGGCGATCAAAGGTTCAAATATCCGAATACATGATGAAGCTTGGAATATCTAGTCTTAGTTTCAGTATATCAGACCCATGGATTTAATTGCCAAGTATTGGAAATTCCAATGGGTTTATGGGCAGTCAGGATTACAACAACAACAACCTACTGCCCATAAACCCATTGCAATTTCCAATACTTGACAATTAAATCCATGGGTCTGATATACTGAAACTAAGACTAGATATTCCAAGCTTCATCATGTATTCGGATATTTGAACCTTTGATCGCCCCAGATCAGATGGCAGTTGTCAATACTCAAAAATCGAAATTCCTTAAAATAATCCATGTTGCTATTGCCAGTTTAAATCATCAACTGACTTTAGTTCGAGTTATGAAAATCTTCAATTTTAGTGCCACTTTTACAGTCGCATGAGCAATCCAACGCGAGATTCATTGGAACGTTGTTTGGCCGCATTGGAAGATTCTAAACATGCGCTTGTTTTTCCGTCTGGCTCGGCGGCCGTAACTGCGTTGTTGCACTTATTGGAATCGGGTGATCATATCGTTGCGTCGGTTGAACAATACGGTGGAACTCGATTGCTTTTGATAGATAGTGCAAAACATCAGAAAATGGAGGTCGATTTTGTTGACTCACAAGATGTAAATGAGGTTGAGGCGGCAATTAAACCGAACACAAAGGTGAATTGGCGGTTAATGCAAACAATGAGATAAAATGTTTCTTCATTTGTTTCTCTCGAAATTTTCTCATTTAATTCCAGTTAATTTGGATAGAAACGCCATCGAATCCATGTGTAAAAATGTCCGATATTGCTGCCATAGCAAAAGTAGCCCGTTCCCGTGAAGGAATCATTTTTGCAGTCGACAATACATTGTTGACACCATATTTTCAGCGGCCACTTGAGCTCGGTGCTGATATTTCGATGTACTCTTGCACAAAGTATATGAATGGACACAATGATGTGCTAGCGGGTGCGCTAATGTTCAATAGCACCGAATTTCTTGAGGGTTTACAAATGGTTCAACAGAAATACGGTTCGATTCTTCCAGCATTTGACTGCTCTATGTTGAATCGCGGACTGAAAACCTTATCTTTGCGAATGGAGAAACACTGTGAAAATGGCGTAGCGTTGGCTCGCTACTTGGAAAAGCATCCGAAAGTAGTGAGTGTTTCACATCCAGTTCTACCATCACACCCGCACTATGAATTGGCCAAGAAGCAAACGACTGGAAATTGTGGGCTGTTTGCTTTTCGAATCAGCGGAACGGTGTACGAGGCAAAGAAATTCATTCAAAGCCTTCGGATTTTTGCAAGTAGTGGCAGTCTTGGTTCATTCAGCAGCTTTGCCATGATTCCGTACGTTATTTTTTTTACTTAATTTTCCTTTTCTTTTGACACTAATTCCTTTACACTTTCATGTTACAGTGTATGTGTCAGTCACACAAGCCTAACCGAAGCTGAACGTGAAAAATTTGGTATTTTTGATACAACAATCCGTTTATCAGTCGGCATTGAGAATGTCGAGGATCTCATTAAGGATTTGGAGCAAGCATTGGATAAAACGTTTAAATGAAGCCACCTTGGAGTATATATATGATTTTATTTTTACACCGGCCGGTGTAACATGCCTAACAAATCACTGATTTTCCATAGCAAACCATTTTGAAATTGAAAGCATTTTTTTGTATTCGCAATTTAACCTTGATGTAACTTTTTGATGTTTGCCAACATATTTGACACACCGTTGCTGCAAGAGCATACACCACTAGCGACACGTTGTGGCACCGATAGTAAAATCCTGTGTGTTACAATGTATTTTTCAACACATTACAATCGGTGCCACCAAGATCGCCTGTGGTATATTGCTGTTGCAGCAACCTTGTGATATTTGATACAAATAAAAACAACTAAGTGACGAGCAGTAATTGCCCAAAATTTCGAAAAATCCATGAAAATCAATTTTTTGCATATTCGAAGGTTTCACGCCAACAGTCAATTCCAAATGGAGTTTTCAATATTTTGATGACCTGGTGGCTGATATTGAAAGGTCTAGATGCCCAAGTTCCTGCTTCAACCAATGACGAGCAGGAATTCGACAAAAATTGGGGAAAAAAATGTATGAAAACCGATATCACAGTGCAATGCATAATGGAGCTGATTTTGTTTCAGTCTTAATTCAACTGAATTGAATATCTTTTATTCAATTTTTCCTAAAGACTCATACAACGTTGGGAAATATTCTGAAACCGAATGGGAATGAAATTATTTTGTGATGTTTGTGCAGTTCGTCTGACAATTGATGACAGATGCAATTATATTGTGTTGAGGCTGGAATGCTATGCACTTTAGTGGGTTTGAAATATTCAAAATCAAAAGTGGCATAATTTAGAAGGAAATTCTATTCTATTTATATGAATAAGAATTCAATCAATATTTATAGTTAAACCAAATCCGTTCGAAAAATACCAAATTCTCCTAAAAATTTCAATTTCACATTTTTATTTGATCTCATAAAAAAAAGTAATGAAAATGAAATGAAAATATTCGAGGGAGTGAAACATTTTGCGATTTCTTCAGTGTTTTAAAGTCGTATTAAAAGTCGTTAACTCATATTTTAAAGTCGTATCAAATTAATTGAATTGAATTGCATTGTTCAACAATTGAATTCACACGACTCACGCTTTGATATGCCATCAAACTAATGAATCAACTATCGCTATTTTTGCAAACATTGACAAAACCAAAGCTAATAAAAATGATAAGATCAGTCATGTTAGGAAAACAAACAACAATCGTATGCCCTTGTTTCAAATGAATGGTTTGGAGCGAAAAAAAAAATACAGAAAAGTTGAGCGGAAAAATGTCGATGATGAATGAGCGGAAAAGGGATAGCTATATAGTAAACTGTATAGTGAACTATATAGCTATCATTTTTCATTTGACATTTTTCCGTTCAACTTTTCTGTATTACATTTTCGCTCCAAACCATTCAAATCATCTTCATTATCACCGTCCAAACTTAGAAATAATGTGTGAATTCGATAATGGGCCAGCAATTTTGTAATAAATTGCATATTTCCGTACTTCAAGCTACGAACAAACAATACTCTCATTAATCGTTTAGTCAAGTATATGAAGTGGAGGAGAGTAGAATAAGTTCTTCAAGTTTATTTTAAGTTTCAAATAGAAAAAAAATGTGTGACTCCAATGAAACTGGAAGCCTAAGCTTCGACACAAAGGCAATACACGCGGGACAAGAACACGAGCGATGGAGTAATGCGGAGATAGTACCACCGATTGTGACATCAGTTACATACTATCAAAAGGATCCGACAAATATTTTTGCAGTAATGAAGCGCATTCGTGTTTACTCTGGACGAGTTTTCAAAGTTTGGTGTTTGTTTTAGGGATATTGCTATGGACGTGATGGTAATCCAACCCGTGATGCATTGGCACGATGCTTGGCTGCTTTAGACAATGGCAAATATGGACTGATATTCCCATCGGGTTGTGCAACAACAACGGCTGTGATACACTTACTCCAAACCGGTGACCACATTTTATCGTGCTCCGAAACATACGGTGGAACTCGAACGATTTTTCTCACCCAAGCCAAAATGCAAGGCATCGAAGTCGATTTTGTTGATTCAACCAATGTTGAATTATTTGCATCTGCCATTAAACCCAATACTCGGGTAAAGTTTTTGATAAATTTTTCCTTGACATAAATCTTTAACATGAACAAAATCAAAATTCATTGCTTTGTTTGAAAGTCACGGTTTGCTTGATTTAGTTTCTTCTTTTTTATTTAGTTTTGCCTTGAATTGAAATCATAATTGCTAATAGCAATGGATAGCTTCAATGTTAACATTCATTTCGTTCAAAATTTCAGTTGATCTGGTTAGAAACGCCATCGAACCCGTGCTTGAAAATTTCCGATATTGCTGCTATCGCAAAGGCAGCCCGTTCCCATAAAGATATCATATTTGTGGTTGATAACACATTGATGACGTCGTATTTTCAACAACCGATGCAGTTGGGAGCTGATATTGTAATGTATTCTCTCACGAAATACATGAATGGACACAATGATGTGTTAGCTGGCGCCCTTGTTATTAACGATTCAAAAATTTACGAAGATTTAAAGTTGATTCAAGTCAAATTTGGTTTGACATGTTCACCGTTCGATTGCTTTTTGGTGAATCGCGGCCTGAAAACGTTGCCGCTGCGAATGAACAAACATTGCGAGAATGGCACGGCCGTGGCTCGTTACTTGGAAAAGCACCCGAAAGTTGTGAAAGTCATACATCCGGGTTTGCCGTCGCATCCTCAATATGAATTGGCAAAGAAGCAGAGTTCAGGTTATTGTGGATTGGTCGTCGTTCAATTATCTGGGACAATAAATGAAGCCACGAAATTTATTCATAATCTTAAAGTGTTTTTGTCATCGGATAGCTTTGGAACATGCACCAGTTTCGCTGTGCTTCCGTAAGTAAAATAAAACCAATTCTCAATTTGCGTGTGTCAATGTTTGTGTTTAAATTTCATTACAGAGCATATGCAAGTCATATCGATGTACCGAAAGAAGTTCGCGAGCAACTGGGGATATTCGAAACAACTGTTCGATTATCAGTTGGGATAGAAAATACTGACGACCTCATCAAAGATTTGGAACAAGCGCTGGTAAAAACGTTCGAATAGTTCGAATGCATAAATACATAAAAAAGTTTTGATTCAGAAGATTTTAATTTTGTTGTATCAAATGATAAGGTCATCGAATTAAATTTTCTTAAGACTATTGAAAGAAATTCATTAGGTGATAAAGAAATATTATTGACGAACGGAAATTCCAGACTTTCATTCGAATTTGATATGAAAACATTGTTCACAACTTAATGGAATAACGTTTTGATGCGAATTAATTAAATTTAGTCTGATGGACTGTAATTAAACTTTGATTTTTCAACAATAATTTTTTTCTTCTATTATAAAACTTAGTAAGAATGGTAGATAATTATCTACTTGATTATAATCAGAACTTCTTTGATATGCATATAGGAATTTTGTTGAACCGTTAAAACCAGCTTCCTTATAGTTGGTTATCTTTTATTCGAATAACATGCTCACGGACGGTTTTTTATGATTGCCCGTGTTGTAGTTGAGGTCTCATTCTCTGTGGCAAATTCCTTTTTTATCATTTCCAAGCAGTAATTTTCGATGTCTTAGTTTATTGAAGCGCTACGCAAAAAAAACAATATCAAATGAAATTTAGCAGATTTGACACCAAATCAGTCATTTTTTCTACTCATAATGGGATTTTTGCAAGCGTTCAGCGTTCAAATGCCGAAAGGAATGAAACCGTACATATTCACCGACAACAAAACTGGAGCGATATGCATGACACCCGATCATTTGATTGAAGTAACTGCGCACTAGACATTGATGGCTTAACTCATCATTAAATAAAAGTAGTAAATACATATTCAACCCATATATTCTTATAAATACTCATTCGATTCAATAGTAAATAAAAGATCGGAATTTTATTCACTCATCGAACATCGTAATTCAATCCCGTATTAATTTCAAGCACTCCCACCGTCAAATAAATCGATTTACTGTTGACGACATCAATTTCATTAAATTGTGCGCCTGAATGGATGCAATCGACTCGTTTCACGTACTTTTCGTTCATGTTTCAAATGACTTGCTTCGTTGAAAGTTGAGTAACAAGAATCAGTTCACGTTTTCTCGCTGTTCCATCGTTCATTGAACGCCGAATCATGATATCGTCGATGTGAATGTGAATGTGTGTTGGCGGTGCACATTTAACTTGAGCGATTGCATGCACAAACTTGTTAATTAGGTTGCACACTAAAACTTTCTCATTCACTAATCTATTGACGCAATTATGAATTTCGTTAATTTTGTGCATGTTTTAACTGTAATATGAACTTACGCGATAACTACGGTTGACTTTTTTCAGTTATTAGACCTACTTTTGCATATTCCAACGTTGCGTATCTGATCGAGTGTCACTTGTAAAACTCAATGGGATGTGATACAATGCTATATGAATTTATAAGTATTTCGCAAATGATAGATGAAACAACGCCAAAAATGCATGAACTGTGATCAACTTCATTCGAATTTAGTTTGTTGTATTTTTAAAGGCTGCAATGGCTGATTATTCTCCTTAATAATTATTTTAAATCAGAGATTCAGAGATGACTTTAGCGCACCCGAGTATTTTTGTTGTTTTTTCGTTCTACTTTAGCTTTTTGGCCAGGAATTTTTTAAAATAATATTTTGTGTAACTGTTGTTAGTCATAGTCAGCGAATCCAATGTTTCTTTGTACAATAAGCATTTCCGTTTTATTAATTTAACATTGCAAGTTTCTCTTCCTTCCTCATTGTACTTAGTATATAAGAAGAAGAATAAATGTAACAAGTTGGTTAGTTGTGCTTTGACAACTGAAAGTCTCGCGTCTCATTTCTCTTTGCGTCTTTGATCTTTGTTCGACCTTTCACAGTAACATAACGAAGGAGAGCTTACATTTTCTGTCTCCGGTATTCGCATTGTGTGGTAATATGCACCTAGTAATTAAGCGCATTGGCTCAATTACGCAATCTTACACAATTTCTACTTTTGGGGATTTTTTCTTCATATTTTACTAATATAAATGTGGTTTTTCAAAAACTGTTCTTTGTTATGTTACACAAAATATTGATACAAAGTTTTTTTTGAACAAAACGGTAAAGTATAACGAAGGAAAAAAAACACAAATACTCGGGTGCGCTAAAGTCATCTCTGTTTTAAATATGTTTTTATCCTTATTAGCAACGATGAGCAACATGAAAAGTTTAAATAAAACCATTTGAAATTATGTTTTCAATGTTAGATACAATTCGAATTTACATGTTTACGCAATGCGATATGTCGCAGATATGTCAGCGTAATGATTTTGCGTAATCCTGTACATTCGCAATGCGGAATATCGCGGGAAGGTTTTGCTTTACGGCGACATGTCGACTTAAACCTCAATTGTATCGCAAAATTCTTGTAGGGGTAGAGAAACACCGGACAATGAGTATCGCATTGAAGTGTAGTGAGAAAATTATTGACCTTATCAAGCGAATTGCACTTTTCAATTATACAAAATGAGGTTATTTCTTATCATTTCTTTCCTTCGTCTACAATTTTAGGATAGCTTATCAAAACAGCTATGTTCTAGTTGTTTTCAGACGATGACCACTTTTATTTTCTCCGACTCAAGTTCAATTACGCACTGGCTTCAAAGTCGGGATACTGCTATTTACTTGTTTTTGTTTTTATATAAAGTCTTGTGTTATCCTTGGCAATCGCTAGATTGATTTGGTTGATTAAAATGTTCAATGGACAGATTTTTATCAAACGCTCCTAGTTTGATTGGAATTGGATTGTTACTCAACTACGAATTTGTCGAAAAACATTCAAATTCAATCTTAAGCCAATAAATGAAATCAAACCAAAATCATTTGCGTCATCCAAAGAAGTAAACAATTCTTATTCGTTACTATAGAACTAATAATTCTTATCAGCAGTAAAAAAATGATTGTTTAATTGCAACCAATGCACAATCGTCAATATTCTTGACATTAAGTGATTACTGTTTTCGTCAATGGTCGATTGAAATGAAAAAGAAAACAAAAGCAACAGAATTATCAGCATGTCTCGACTGCCAACAAAATCGGTAAACTGGTTTACAAGATCAAGCGCTTGTTTATTGAATCGTGCGTTGTGTTGCTTGTTTTTGTACTCTTGCAAATCGGAACACGTATAAGAAGCGGTAAATTTCTCCGTGACGCAGTTAATATCAGTTTGTGGCTAAGTGCGAAAGTGCATCGAATTACTTGGTTGAAAAAAGTGAAAACGTTTAAAATGATTTCAATACTTTTATTGAATACGTGCTTCATTATATTCATTTATAACATTTATTTGTATCTTTTTTCGAGACCTGCCAATTTTCCACCGGGTAAATTCACGGGAGAATTCAATAAAATTATGAATAAAATGAAATAGAGAAAAAATGAAACGAAGGAAAAAAAAAGTGAAATTGGAACAATCGAGAGTGAACTGAACAAATATGATTGAATTGAAATAATATTTTTGAATAGATATTGAATAAAATACGAATTTTTTCCCCACAGGACCGCCGAAAGTGCCATATTTTGGTAGCTATATTTTCATGCTGTTGTTGAATCACAAGCATCTGCATCGCGCCGTCAATCGAATTTGTCAGTTTTATAAATCGTCTGTTATTGGATTCTATTTAGGAAAATTCCCAATTGTAGTTGTGAATGACAGTGAAAATGTGAAAAAAGCATTGTTTCATCGTGACTTTGACGGTCGACCAGACATTTTGATGGGAAGAATGCGGCACCCGAATTTGGATCTGCACGGTGGGTGAAAGTGAAATCGATTACTATTGATTGATGTCAAAGAAGTGAAAGTTTTAACTAATGCAAAAAGTTTTTTTCAACGAAAACAGGAATTTTTTTCACGGAAGGAGACACATGGCATGAACAAAGACGTTTCACATTACGTTACTTGAGAGATTTTGGATTTGGGCGGCGATTTGATTCGTTAGAGAAAGAAATGGAAATTCAAATTTCACAATACATTGATATCATCAAGAATGGGCCGAAATATCCACATGAACAAGTGAGTGCACTTTTAACTCTTCGAATGTGTTTAAATCGATTTAAGATTATGAATGAATCATAATTTTTTTCATTTCCCATTAAAAAATCATTTCTCTAATTCACAGAAATACTTTAAAGATGGCAAAGTATTATTGCCATACGCATTTGGGCCGGCGTTTGGAAATTGCTTTATAACTTGTTTGCTAAATGAACCCATGCCTCGTGAATATATGGCTAAAATTTGCACGTTAGTGTCGATTTTCTTCTATCAATTATTGTGAATTTGCACAATTAAGACTAATTACTTTAATTGTTGAAACAGTGCTGTTGAGAATGGTTTCATATTTCAACGAAAAACCGACAACTATGGAAAATTATACAGTTTGATCCCGAATTTTGCAAAGTATTTCCCTGGTTTTTCTGACTATCAAGTCGTGAGAGAAGCTTCAATTGAATTGTATACCTTCTTCTCGGTAAGTACCATCGCAGCAAGTGGCATTTACTCCATTTGTTTCCATCTTGCTCAAGTTCTCACTTGTAGGATATCATCAATGAACAAATAAAAACGTTCGACGAAAGTCACGAACGGCACTTCATCGACATGTATATAAATAAAGTACGAGCAGCGGAGATGAATGGCGACGAAACATCGACTTATTCATGTGAGTGGAACCCGATGCATGCATATTAAATTGCAATAAGTTTATTCACCTACTCTACATAGTACATACTGCTAACTTTCACATTCTATTTTCAGACGACCAGTTAATTTTGGCGTGCATTGACTTCGCCTTTCCAGCTTTAACCGCTTTATCAACGACAGTCACATTTTTGTTCCAACAAATATGCCATGAACCAGAAGTGCAGCGAAAAATTCAAGAAGAAATCGATCATGTTGTTGGTCAAGGTCGTTTTCCCACATTGGATGACCGTATAAAGTTAGTTTGAATTTGCAAAACATTTACATGGATCTTTAAAATTCAATTAGAAATTTACACCGAACAACAACCATTTCGTTACAGTTTACCATACTCAGAGGCTTGTATTCGCGAAATAATGCGCTTTGAAACGTTAGTGCCTTCGGGTCTGCCACATAAAGCTCTGGTTGACACCGAATTTTTGGGCTATACTATTCCGAAGGGAACGGTTATAATGCCTGCACTAGATGCTGCATTCCACGACCCAACTGCATGGCATG